CTCCCTCTACTCCCAATGCAGATGCAGGCTGCGAGTGTCCCCCCCCCCAATCAGGTCCTGCCCCCAAGCCTCTTTTCAAAAGGGCCTGGCTGTGGGGCAAGGCTGCTGCGTGCAAAGATTTGCCCCACAAGTGCGGCAACTGCTCGGCACCGGAAGCATCCGGCAAGGGGTGCCCTCACCTGGAGCCCTGAGTCACCCTGGCGTCAGCTCACCTGCAAGGCGCATAGTTAACCCCCTGGAATCTGCTCCCTCCGGGCACAGTGGCTTGGAGAGAGTTCGTGGAGGAAGATAAGGCTGTCTCTGCAAGGCGTTGCCTGCAGGTCCAGGGGCAGAATGGGCTCCTGAGGGGAGAGGCTGCTGCAGGCCAGACACGCCTTCCTTGCAGGCTTATAAGCAAAGGTTACGTTCTTTATCTGCGATTCCTGCATTTGCAGGAGGCTGGAATAGATGACTCTTGGGGAATCTGTTGCCACTCTTGATTCCCTCCAGGGCCTCTGGTCAGATCCTGATGCTCTTCTACGGAAGCTTCCTGGAGAGCCCTGCCCCAGTGCTGGTCCAAAGGGGATGAAGGCCTTCAGCCCAAAGTCCCCTGATTTCTCCATGTGCCACACTGGGGGGGGGGCTGCCCTGCTCCCTGTTTGAGAGCGAAGGAGGGCCCAAAAATGTCCTGATGGAGGAGCCCCTTGGTGCTGGAGGCTGGCGAGTCCTGGCTTGGGGCTGGGCCTGTTCCCATCTCTCCCTGAGGCCTTGTTTGTTCTGCCCTTCCTTCTCCTGGGTTTGCCCAGGGAGGGGCGGCTGTGGGGTGGAGGGAACCACAGGGATGAGCAGCGCAAACAGCTAACTGCCTCCTGCCTGTTTCCTCTTTTTGCCCCCAGGAGAGCCTTTCTCTCTCTCCCCCCCCCCCACAATTCCTTAGCCACTGTGTCCCCTGCCTATGGGGTGCTGCTGCTGCTGGTGTGACTCAGTGTGGGCCTTGGCACCAGGGCAGGATGTGAGCAGCGCCCCCACGTCCTCTGGCGTCAGAGTGCAGGCCGCTGGCCCAGATGTGTCGGCTGCGGCGGCAGCAGCTGGAACTTCTCTGTGGTTTCGAAACTGTTGTGCTGCACATTCCTCTGGTGTGCTGGGACCCAGCCCAGTTCTGCTTCTGGGGAGCCAGGCGGGGCCTGGGCCTGGCTGCCCTGGAATGTGCTCCTGGGGCCGGGGCGGGGCAGGGGGGGGCAGCCACTGGAGCAGCCGCCGCTGCAGACTTTGCCCTGGGTGTCTCTCTGCTCCCAGCTGCACCGTTGGTGGGGTGGGGTGGCACCCAGTGGCCTTCTCCAGACTCTTCCCTCAAGGTGGGGGGGAATTTGAGGAACCACTGGGGAGGATGAAGGTGCTGCCCCCCTGCCCCCTGAGGTGTGCATGGGGTTCCTGCTCCTTCCCTTGCACCTTCTGCAAGGTTTGGCCCTGCCCCCTCCTCCCTGCCCACACCTGACAGGGCGCCTCCCGGTGTGAGCGGAGGGGCCCTTGGGAGGGTTGGCGCACGAACACCCCCGCAGCCCTGTGGCCATTAGTTGGGCGTTGCCCCACTAGCAGGGTGAGTCACAGCCCAGCCTCGTGCCAGTCTGGTGCCTTCCCCCCGGGCAAGCTCCAATGCTGTGCCCACGCTTCCAGACTCTGGGCCTGTCAGGATGGCTGAGTGGCCCTGGGAGAGAGCAGCAGGGTGGGGGGTGCCAGCTATTGCCTCCTGGGCCTTGGGAGCCCTGCCTTCTTCCTCTGAGTCTGCTGGCAGCAACCTTCTTCCCTGGTGCTAAGAAGACCTGGCCCACGTGGTGCCCTTTCTGCAAGTCCCTTGGGGGCAGCATCTCATTGTATCTCCACACCAGCCCTGTGAGGTAGGCTAGCCAGAGAGAAGGGTTTTCCCCAAGGCTACCCAGCAAGTGGAGATTCGAACCCAGACCACAACACACTGCCCACCACGACCCTTTCCCCCGCTCCTGCCCTCAGTGGAACAGACAACCTTGAGAGGTGCTGAACTTTCCTTCATTGGAGGCTTTCAGAACTAGATGGGATGACCACCTGCCCTGGATTATTTAGCTGTGATTCTGGCATTGCAGGGGGTTGGACTAGATGGCCTCTGGGCTCCCTTCCAACTCTACAGTTCTGTGATTCTGCTGGCCTGCCTGCATCAGATCAGGGAGTGGAGCTGGCTGGGAGTCCATGAATGAAAGTGGTGGAAGAAGCTCTTCCTTTGGGTATACTCTGGGTGGAAACAGGAGCGCTGTGTTTCCCCTCTGTGTTGACTGCGGAAGCAGAGGGGCCTGATCCGCCTTTTCTGCTCGCCTTGCTGGGTGCAAGGCGAGCTCTTCTTCCAGGCCTCTGCTGCAGGCTGGCCAGGAAGCGGTTAAGTTTTCAGGAAGCCCTCTGGGCAGAGCTGAGGTTTCCTGCCGGGCTGGGCTGGGCAGAGCAGGGGAAGCCCAGCCCCTCCCTCGGGGAGAGAGTGGTGGGCAGGGCTCAGGGGATGGGGCCCATCCGGCTGGGGCAGGGCTCAGGCAGTTGCTGGCGGCAGCATCTAGATGCTGCCAGGAGCCGAGTCTGTTTGGTTCAGCGCCTTGTGCCCGGAGCCTGTGCCCACAGCCGCTGCCCCCACCATGTCCCGGCAGAGGCTGCGCAGCCGAGAGGCGGCCGATGGGCCCCCCACCTCCCCGGGGCTGGCCGACCAGAGCAACTCCGACGAGAACCTGTACAAGGCGGTCCTCAGGGCATCGGAGGGCAAGAAAGGTACTGGGTGGGTGCGCTTGAGGGGTTAATGCTGCACCACCTGGGACAGAGATGGCGATGGGTGGGTGGGGCATTTTGCATTTTGCGTTTCCCCACAGCTTCCTTCCTTCCTTCCGCTCTCCCTCTGGAGGGCACAGCGAGGCCTGCGCTATGGGGAAGTGGGAGGCTCTGGCTGGGATGAAGGTCCAAGAAGGATTGTGGCTGCCCCTGGGCTGCGTGTTTGTGTGTTCCTGCACAGGCACCGCGTGGTAGGGCAGCTTTGCTCCTGCAGGTGCCCTCACCTTGGCAGTGGGTCTGGGGCTTGGGGTGCTGGTGAGGTGCTCCTGAAACGCACTCCAGGGTGTCCCTGGGCTCTCGGTGTATTGGGGGCCCCCTAAGCCTGGCACAGCTGGGTCTCCTGGGGTGGCTGTGCTGTGTGTGCCCACCTTGAGTAGGGGCTGTGGCCACTTCTTTGCTGTCAGACTTGGGTGGGCTTGCCACCTTTTAGTGGGGCCCCTGTGCCTTTAACAGGCAGAAATTCAACAGGTTAGGCTTTCCTCCCCTCTGCAGATTTGCGCCTGTTGACTCTCCACCAGCCCCCAAAAATCCAGGTGTGGGGGGGATATTCTAGGAGAGCTTCCTTGCCCAGCCAGGAGTGGGGGGCAGCACATGAGGCCTTGGGGTGGGGTGGGCACTCCCCACACATTCCCTGTCGGGGTGGGGAGGGGCCGGCCTTGAGCTTCCAGGGCTCCTGGCTGCTCTGCTTCTGCTGGGCAAATCCCAGCCTGCAGGAGCCGGAGCAGGAGGAGGAGGAAGGGAGCGAGACACAACAAGCCAGCCCCTGGTCTGGCCCGGAAGCCATGGCAACCGGTCACATGGGGGCTGAGCCAGGGCGCCCGGCCCAGGCGCCAGGGGATGGCCGAGGGTCCCCTGGGGGCAGAGAGGGGCACCCAGTGACCACTTAGCTAGATTGCTGGCCCAGGTGGCATCCTGTTCCCAGGCAAGGCACCCCCTCCCCAGGGAATCCTGTCTTAGAGTCATGGAACCGTGGAGTGGCAAGGGACCTCAGGGGTCATCTAGTCCAACCCCCTGTCCGAGGGCGCCGTGGGGTTGAGGCAGACTGTGCTCACACCAAGTTTGGGCAGAGGAGCCATGACTCTTTCTGCCACCTCTTACAGGACAGGGTCTTTCCAGGAGGGTGGGGTTTTTTTTTGGGTGCTCTCTTCCCTTTCCACTGTGCAGCTGGATTCCTTTCTCCCTGGGTGCCCCATTGTTGTCACGGGGGGGGGGGGACGGACACCATTGTTGTCACGGGGGGGGCGCACTCCTCCTGATTGCTGTGGCCTCTTTGGGCTTCTGGTGGCCCATGAATGTGGCCCTAGCCATGGACTCGGGTGACTGGATGGGGACTATAGCCAGACCCATGGGAGGTGGACCTGTTGGTGACACTTCACTGGGACCCCCAAAATTGTCTCTGGGCCCCGTGCCCTTGTGGGGTGCTGGTTTGGAGGCGTCCCAAGCGCCAGGGGGAAGGACTCTGGCCCAGCAAAGCCCCTCAGGGCTGGCTCCCGGTGTGCAGCTGGCCGGAGGAGGAGCAGCTATGGTGGCGAAAGCGGAGGGCACAGAGCAAGCGCAGGACTTTGGAAAGCTGGTATCACCGGATAAAGTTCATCAGTTTTGTTGCCTTAATTAGTTTTAATTGGATTTTGAATACACGTGCGGTTAATTGTCGTTGCTTCACATTTTATTGTGTTATTATCCTCCTTCGCGGGTCATGCAAACTGCTATTCCGAATAATCCTTTTTCTAGGACAGGGTGGGGGGCACTGGGCATGAGCGTATGGGACTGAGGGGGCAGTGGATTCCAAAGGTTTTGGGGTTCAGGGGTGCAGATGACCCAGAACTGTGGAGCTGATGGTCTGAGGGGAGGGCAGCTTCCTCTGTGAGTGTGGTGGGGAGGCCTTTGTGGGAGGGGCCGGGGGGGTCCTCTTTTTCTCTTGCTGGGGGCCTTGGCTTTTGTGCCAGGCCTGCTAAGGGTGATGGCGCAAGGGGCTGGCACCCAGTTCCTGAGTCACTCTTGCATTTCCTTCCTGTTGCATGGGGTGAATCACCTCCCTGCGCCTGGTGGTGATTCTGGCTAGGACTGCCACTGCCGCCTCCCCCCTCCGCAATTTCCTTCCTGGAGGTGGGGGCTGCCCCCAAACCTTCTCTGAGCTGCTCCCTCCAGCCCCTCGACTCACGTCCGCCTCTCCTCTCTTGCAGACGAACGGGATCGGGTCCAGAAGAAAACCTTCACCAAATGGGTCAACAAACACCTTATCAAGGTAAGGGCTGGGGACACCTTCCCCTGCACCCCCCCCCCAAATAAAAATCCAAGGGAGGTGGCTGGCCAGGCTGAGAGTCTCTCAGGGCTGCCAAGCCAGAGAGAAATATATTCCAACTAAATCAATCTGAGGACACTCTGGCTGGGGGTGGGGTGGGCGGCCTTTGGGTGGGTGAAGACCCAGCTTTGCCAAGGACATGGGGGGGGGCTGGTTGAAGGTTGCCTCTTTCTCTTCCCTCCCCCACTCCCCTGGCAGACAACCATCCCATTCTGGATCTGACACGCCCCATATTTCCTTCCCCTGTGGTGGAAAGAACACCCCCCCCCAACCCGCTTCACTTCTGAATGGGTCTATTATCTCTGTGGTTGTGGGGCGTGGTCTGCCCCCCCCCGCCCAGTCCTGTGACTCCTGTTGCCAGAGGTGCCCACAGAACTGTAGGATTGTCCAACTGGGAGGGACCCCAAGGCTCATCTAGTCCAGCCCCCCTGCAATGCAGGAATCACAGCCACTTGGGGGGGGGCTGGGCTGTCCTCCTCCTTCCTTTGGGGCTGCAGGCCCCATGGCCCCCAACACCCAGACCCTCCAGTGTCTTGCCAGCCAGTGGCACCTGGGGGGCAGCCCTATGCCCGGAGGGGACTCCTTTGCTTTGAAACCTTAGCAATATCAGCAACATGCTCTAACCAGCTAAGCTGACCCTCAATTTCAATGGGTCTCCTCTGAGTAAAAGCTGAATGCATTCATCAGGAGTGGGGGCTCTTCTCTCCACCACCAGCAGCCTCATGAGAGGTAGAAACCTGCCCTGGCCATGTGGTGCCCCTGCCAGGCCTGGTGGGGGCAAGGGCTGGGATGCCCAGTGTGAACCCACCAGTGCCAGGCACCCTGCAGGTTCCGTCCCCTGGCATGCTGTGCCCCCCGGCCTCTCTCTGGGTCTGTTTCCTCTTCTTCCTAACCTCTTTCTCTCTCTTCCTGCCTCCTCTCCTCCTCTTCCTCCTCCTCTTCTTCCTCCTCCTTCCTGGCAACAGCACTGGCGAGCAGAGGTAGGTGCCCAGGGCTCTGTCTTGCTCTCTCCTCCTTTCTCTCCATATTTCCTTCTGCTCTGTCCATCCAAACACCCAAAGGTGCCTCGGGGAGAGTCAGGCCGCTGGCCGGTGACTCCCTGGCCTTTCAGGGGACTTCCCCATTTCCCTGGGGGGGGCTCCCACAGCTTCCCTGCTGCTGAACTCCAGCCCCCACCCTTGCACTGTGCTCCCCCCAGGTGGCGGCTGCTGCCAGGAGGGTCTGCAGAACTAGGGATCCGCTCGGAGGCACCTAAGAGTGGAGAGGGGATCCCTTTTGGGTCAAATGTTTTAAGGTTGGCCAGGCCTGGGGGTGGGGGCTCCTTTCAGGATGGGATCTGTGCCCCCTGTGTGGTTGGGGCCTGGGATCCCTAGAGAGGTTGGGGAGAAGGGTAGTTTCAGGCCTTGCCATTTGCTTGCTGGTGGTAAAAGGGTGGGAGGGGGGCTGGCTGGCACCCCCCTGCCGGTCCTGACTCTCTCTTTGCCCCTTCCAGGCCCATCGCCACGTCAACGACCTCTACGAAGACCTCCGCGATGGGCACAACCTCATCTCCCTCCTGGAGGTGCTCTCAGGAGATACTCTGGTACGTAGAATCCTCACCCCCGGGGGGACGGGCAGCCCCCCCTGTACCCCCAGATAGCAGGAAAGCAAGTCTGGCCAACAAGGCCCCCTCCGAACGCTGCACTGCCCCCCAGCTCCTGCTGCCTCCCCCGGAGTGTTTTAGCCCCCTCCTCTCCTGCCTGCTCCCCACCCCCTCCCTATTGCCCTCCTGCTTGGGGCTCCCCCTCCCAGACCCCCCCCAGGGTCCATCTCCCTGCTGAGCCTGGAGTTGCCAGCTCCTGGGCAGACTTTTTTTTTGGGGGGGAGAATGTCCCCCTATCCAGTGCTCTGTGCCTGCTGACTCCATTTTGCAGCCCACCTGAGTCTGAGAGTCCAGGTCCTTCTTTAAAAAGCGAGAGAAGCATGGGGGGGGGCAGGAAGGGGGCTTCTTTGCTCAGCTGCTCCCCCCCATCTTCCTTTTAAAAAAACATAATTTGCATTTGATTTTACTAATGTAAAGATACAGCAATACCAAATACATGGCCATATTTAGAGATTTCTTGGAATCTCCAGACTTGCCTCCATCCTGGGCCCTGTGGCCAACACTTTCAACTGCGTATTATTTCAGCATCCATATTTCGCAATTGTCCATAGTAATTGTTACGTTACAAGTGTTGTTAGAATCCTGCTAATGTTTTCATCTGCTTGCAGGGGTCTCCTAAATACACCCCCCAATCTTCCAGTCCTCTGCCCACAGTCCGTCTGTGCCCCACTTGCAGGGGGGGGGGAGGGTTGCCCTAGAGAAGCCTTGGCATGTAGCAGCAAGTGTGGGGCAGAGGCAGGCAGAGAGCCCTGGAGTCCCTTAGAGGAATGGGGCTCCCCCCAAGACCTACCCAGAATCCCTTTGGGGTTCAGAGCACCCACCCCACCTCCCACAACTCCAGAGGTGCAGAGAGTTAGTTTGAGGAGGCGTCGCCCACCTTTTGGCCCAGGAACTTTGCAGCGCAACGCTGGGTGCCTGCCCTGCCTGGGCATAACAGCTGCTCACCTGCCGCTCTCGTCTTCGGTTGCTCCCCCCCGCCTCCCCCCTCTGTCTATGCGCTCTAACACCGTAACTCTTGTGCGCTGCACGGGGGTCTCTCTCTGTCTCTCTCTCTCTCTGCTGCCCGCTCTGTTTGTCTCTCCTCCGGGCGGGACTCTGCCTTCTGACTGCTGCCCTTTGGCCTCTGCCCCCCTCTTTGCTCGGCTCCCACCTGCCGCCGCCCCGTAGCCCAGAGAGCGCGACGTGATCCGGAACTTGCGGTTGGTGAGTGGTTCTGCTCCGCCCCCCCTTGTCGCTTTCTGCATGGCATTGCACCCGCCACCCGCACGCCTGCCCTGGGTTGAGCTGCTGGGGTGGGTGCCAAGGCGACCCACCTCTCTCTTGCTGGCGCAAAAGTGCTGTTGCTCCTGCCTGGCACGCGGCCAGAGGTGCCAACTCCCAGGGGCTGAGCTCTTTGGGGGCCCCAATATTTTGGGGGCTCCCCAATGCTCAAAAGCGGTGGAGGAAGAGCTCTTGGCCATTGAAACCATGCAGCCCCCCCATTCATCTCTGCTCCTGGCTCCGCCCAACATCCTGACATCACATGCATGGTGGCGCCCCCCTCCATTCTCCCTCGGAAGTTGGTGCCTCTGCCCATGACTAGCTGATGCCAGGCCTGGATGGGGGGGGACGTTGTCCTCCCTTCGTGCCCATGGCGGAGGCAGAGGGGAGCCCCAGAACCCATCAGGTTGTGGGCATCAGGGTGCTAAATGGGAGGGGGAGGAGGGCCAATGAAGGGGGTGGGCCAATGAAGATTCCCCAGCCCCCCAGGTTTGGCTTCAGCCGGGCCTTGGCTGGGGTGGGGGCAGGATCTGCGCTTGCAAAGAGGGAAGAGGGCTTCTCTGTATCTGCGTCCTGCCTCTTCTCCTTGTGCCAGCCCCATAGCTGGGCAAGGGTAGGGGGTTCCTCAGATGGGCCAGTGTGTGGCGCAGGAAGCACGCCAGGAAGGGGGGGGAGGAGGCGGATGACAGAAGCCTTTACACTGGCTGCTGCCTGAAGGTGTCCGGTGGGGGGGGGAGGGGGGAGCATTTCCTGGACATTGTTTTCTGACTTGCGTCTGACAGGAAGGATTTGGGGGCTGGCCTCCCCCTTCTTTCCTCCTGCTGGGCTGGGATCCTCTGCTGGGGAGGCTTGTTTGGACCAGGGCAGGGTTGTTGTTTTTTTTGGGGGGGTCACTGTGCCCAGATGTGGAGCCTGGCAGGGCAGAGACACTGACTTCCCTCCCGCTCCCCCTGCAGCCCCGCGAAAAGGGCCGGATGCGGTTCCACAAGCTCCAGAATGTGCAGATTGCCCTGGATTACCTGAAGCACCGGCAGGTGAGACTGGCGAAGGGAGGGAGGGAGTCCGGCCTGGCCTGCCTTGAGGGGTCAGGGGTGACTGGAGCCCCCCGATAATTGGCATGATGTGCCATTTCCCAGGTGAAGCTGGTCAATATCCGGAACGATGACATTGCGGACGGAAACCCGAAGCTGACTCTGGGCCTCATCTGGACCATCATCCTCCACTTCCAGGTGAGTGGGGAGGGGAGCCTGCTTGGGGGGGGGCACTGAGGGGACGCTGAGCCCTGGCATGGGAAATGGGCCTGGGCGCAGCTATGCCAGAGCCACCTGCCTTGTGGTGGCCCCGGAGGCCTGCCAGCCAGAGACCGGTCTTGTCAAATGCAAGATGGTTCTTTTAAAATTAGATTCAGAAGCAATACAAAGGCAAGTGGCTGAGAAGATTACAGATTTTATTCTGAACAGCAAGTAAAATATACATTACCAAGCAGCACTTCAATCTGCCACTGGGAAGCTCAAAGAAGTGGCAAAGTGACCCCCCCCCGATAGTCTTCCTTTGCCCAACCCTCTGGCCATGAGTCCATGCCCAGCTTCTCACTGCCATGCTCAAAAACTAGATATTTGAGAGATGCCCTGCCCTGTTGGGGCCAGGACAGGTTTGGCTAGGAGCTATTCTACATCAAAGACAAAAAGCCAGGCCAGACATCAAAGGCTTTCACTGACCAGTGCCGCTTGCCAACAGACCACACATCAAAGACTCTTTTTTTACAAGGGATAGAGAAAGTAAGAAAACATAGATAACCGGAGCCAGGAAGAGTTGAGCCTGTCAGTTCACTATCTCCTCAAAATCACAACAATCTTCTGGAATAAGTTCCCCATACTCTTCATTCCATGCCAGGGCAGGGCAGGGAGGGTCTTCTGAGGGGAAGGGAAGGGAATAATAATAAAAATAATAAAATAATAATAATAAAAAATTATACCCCGCCCTCCCCGGCCGGAGCCGGGCTCAGGGCAGCTAACACCAATAAAATCACAGTAAGAACATAATAGGGGAAAAGAAAAAAACACCAATTTAAAATACAGGTTAAAATGCAATTTAAAATGCAGCCTCATTTTAAAAGTAGCCGATAGATCAAGGTGCAGAATCCCCTCCGCCAGCTCCTGTCTCTTGGCTTGTTGGTCATCCAGATCTCGGACAAACCAGTCAAACCGATTAGTCACATTTTGCTCCAGCGAAGAGTCCTGGCTGAGTTGTGGCCCAGCCCCACAGTTCAGCCCCCCCCCCGGCTCAGGGAGCTGCTCCACCTTGTGGGCTGGGTCCCCTCATGAGACGGAAGATGCGCCAGCATTTTAAGACAAGGGGCAGTGGGGTGCAGTGGTTAGAGGGCCATATGAGGACCTGGGAGAGCGGCCTTTGAATCCCCACTGGGTGATTCAGATCGCAGGGTGACCTTGGGCCGGTCGCTGCCTCTCAGCCTGCCTTGCAGGGGTGTTCTGGGGATTAAATGAGCAGGATTAAACCGTTCTCTGCCGCCTTGATCTTCTTGGAAGCAAAGATGAGGTGTAACGGGAGCAAAACAGCCAACCAATCAGTGAATTGTGGGAGGTTGGGAGGATAGGAGAGGCTTTGCCTGGGGGGCACTGGGCAACGGAGGGCTCTGCTGGAAAGGCCCCTCCCTCGCTGCCTCCTTTCCTCCCCCCCCATTATTTTATGCAGAGTGAGGGTGCATAGAAGGAGACCCAGGAGAGAGGCTCTTGCCCTCTCCATCTTGTGGAGACTTGTGGGGGGGCACCCTGAGGTGCTTCTGGGGAGGAGCACTCTGGGTGGGGCCGCTGCTGTGCGCTGTGGTTGCAGCAGGAGAGGAGTCTGTGGCTGGCTGGGCCTGACTCACCCCTTGCTCCAGGACACAGATTTTCCAGCGCTAGACGCTGATGCAACCACCTTGGCTTGTGCCCCAGAGAAGAGGGGGGGCGTAGGGAGAAGGGAGGGGGCACGTGCCCCTTGGGGGACCCAGTGGACACCCCTCTCTGCATCTGGCATCTGGCAGCCACTGTGAGAACAGGATGCTGCCTTAATCCAGCCACATAAGGACACCATCAGAGCTTGCTGGATGAGACCCGAGGGGCCCCCTCTAGCCCAGCCCCCTGTCCCCACAGGGGCCAACCAGATGCCCCAAAGCGGGATTGGAGCGCAAGAGCAGCCCTCTGCCCTCCCTCAGGCCCTTCTGGCTCAGAAGGCAGGCAGGATGCCCAGGGGAGAAGGTGCCCATCCTCCCTCTGCTCTGCTTCACTGCCCAATGCCCGTTTGGCTCTTGATGCCCTTGCCCCGAACACACCTATCCATTCCTCCTCCTCAGCCCCCTTGGCATGGGCAGTGGGGCTGCCGTGGGTTTTGCTGCAGAATGATGCTGGCCCTGGGTGCCCCCCATTGGTGCCCGCCCAGCTCACCCCTCGGCTTCCCTCGCCTGCAGATCTCGGACATCCAGGTGAGCGGCCAGTCGGAGGACATGACCGCCAAGGAGAAGCTGCTGCTGTGGTCCCAGAGGATGGTCGAGGGCTACCAGGGCCTGCGCTGCGACAACTTCACCACCAGCTGGCGAGACGGGCGCCTCTTCAACGCCATCATCCACCGCCACAAGTAAGGGGGGGGGCTGCAGGAGGGTTTTTTAAAAAATCAAACGCAAATCTGGATGCAGGGAAAGTAGGATAGACGCCGAGCATCTCAATGCTGTTCGTCCGATGACTCACAGGCAGCCCAGCCCTTGAGGGAGACCCTGCGGGTTTGTGGTTTGGTGGAGGGACGGAAAAGGAGGGGAAGTGAGACGCCGTGAAGGGGGGTGGTGTCAGAGGGACGAAATGGGGAAGGAGATCTGGGGAGGCAGTGGAGGAAAGGGAAAGCAATCCCCACACGCCCCACATTTCCTGCTGCCCCAAATATCCTTTCTCTTCAGAAAGGTGCTTGAATATTGAGAGTAGAAAGGAGGGGGCCAGCACACATTTTTCCTAGCCCCCCAATTCTCTTCCATCCCTGCAACTAGATTCTCAGCCGGCCTGACTCTGGCTCTCGGTGGTCTGCCAGGGGCATAATGGCCCCCTCTGCTGCTTCTCCCTCTGGGTGAGCCCTGGGCCTCCATGCAGAGCAGCGCAGGTGTTGCTTGCGGGACTGCAGCCCCTGCTCTCCCGCTCTGCCCCATCTCCTCCTCCTGCCCCCCCACCTTCCTCTCCCCCCCCCATGAGAGCTTGCCTGCACCCACTTGGCTGGGCTTGTTTGCTCAGAGGTGGCCTGGAGCAGGGGAGAAGGCGGGGGGGGGCTGCTGTCCCCTCCTGCACCTTCTGTGCTCCCCTTCTCCCCCCACTCCGGGTCCCCAAGAATTGTGGGGAACACCTCTCCCCCCACCCCAGCCCCAGCCTGGAAGAGTGTGGGCCCTTCAGGGAGAAGGTTGTTGGCAGAGCAGTCCTGGCGGTGGGCCGGATGGCAATGGCGGATCTGCAAAGCTGCAACAAGTCTGAGCCTGACGCCCGCCTGCCCCACCTTCCCACACGTGGCTGGGAGCAGGGCGGGGATCCGGCCCACCCTGCTGGCACGCTCCATTCGGAGCAGGGAGTGCACTGGGGCCAGAGGCAGCAGACGCCTTTGCTGCTCCCTCCTCCGAGCGCGTGGGCATGAGCGGGCGCTCGCGTGGCAGGCTCCGGGCCGGGCGCCGGGGCCTGGTGGGGTCTGGATCCCTGCGGGCCAAGGAGGAGCGGGTGGTGATGGTCTGTGAGGAGGTGCCCACCGTGGACTCTGGGCTGCGGGCACAGACGCTGCCGCGCTCCAACGGGGCTGGCGAAGAAGGATGGGCGCTGGCAGGAGGCCGGAACGTCAGCGGCTCCCTGTACTCCGTCCATTCCACGCTGCGGCTCCAGGAAATGTAGGAGGGTCTCCTAGCCCCCCCCATGTTCCCCTGCGCTCCCCTCCCTCTCCTTCCTGTAACTGTGTATGGGGGTGTCAGCTGGGGGTTCCTCGCCAGCTTAAGGGAGGTGGTCACTGCTCAGTCCCACCCTGACTCTGGCCCTGGGGAATAGGAAGTCCCTTCTCCTAATTGTGATGTTTGGGGGGGTCCTTCCCATGGGATTGCGTGGCTGAGCTTTCTCCTGTGGCTGTTGGTCACATTTGGGGCTGGCAAGGGGGTGGGGTGGAGGATTTTGGTTTTGTTTTTCTTTTGCCCTCCCCTTTGCCGCATGGCTTGGCTCACTTACCTGAGCACCGCGGGAAGTTTTTTCTGTACTCTGCCGCCTGGCGTGTGGCGGCTCCTGCTCCTTGCCACCTGGCCGGGATTGTTGGGGCTTACCTGGAAGGATACAGCCAGGTGTGATCCTGCCTTGGGCTGGGCTCCTGCTTCTTGCTGGCACTTGCCTGCCGCTGCTTGCTGCCAGGAGATGCTTCTGAGCTGAGCCGAGGCATCTCCTGCCTCCCCCCCCCCCAGCTTTGGCCCCAGCACTGAGCAGCCTGTTGCTGCAGTTTGTGGGGAGGGGGCTGGGCCAGGCTTCTAAATTCAGCCTGCCCCTGCCCTGAACAGAGAGCCAGTGTGGTGTAGTGGTTCAGAGCGGTGGACTCGTAATCTGGGGAACCGGGTTCGCGTCTCCGCTCCTCCACCTGCAGCTGCTGGGTGACCTTGGGCCAGTCACACTTCTCTGAAGTCTCTCAGCCCCACTCACCTCACAGAGTGTTTTTTTGTGGGGGAGGAAGGGAAAGGAGAATGTTAGCCGCTTGGAGACTCCTTAAAGGGAGTGAAAGGCGGGATATCAAATCCAAACTCTTCTTCTTCTGAACACCCCCCCCCTTTGGGGACTCAAGAAGAAGAAGTTGTTGTTGTACACCCCAGGAGGCCAAATGCCTGTTTTCCTGTGGGACATCTTCAGCCTTTCCGACGTCCGGGATACTGCCCCACCAAGGCTCTCCCCAGTCAGATAGATCACTCCCTGCCCTTTTCAATATTTTGTGGGCGAGGGGTATTTTGCCTGTTAGGGATGGGCAGTCCTGAGTGTTGCCAGTTTTCCTACTGTCAAAATGGGTTTGCTTTGGTGTCCATCGCTGTCCCTTAGATTTCCAAATGTGCTGCTGGCCCCCCCCCCCAAAGTTGGAAGCCCCTCGAAAGGGTTGGCAGGGCCATCTGGTGCCCCCCCTGCAATTCAGGAGTGGCAGCTCAGAACCCTCTCCTCTCCCCCCAACAGGCCGATGCTGATTGACATGAACAAAGTGTACCGCCAGACCAATGTGGAGAACCTGGAGCAGGCCTTCTCCGTGGCCGACCACGAGCTGGGAGTGACACGGCTGCTGGACCCGGAAGGTGCGTAGGGATGCAGGACAATCGTGGGGTTGGGGAGTAGTAACTCAAGGGGACTGGGCGCCTGTGTGGGTGGCCAAGTGGGCACAGCCTGGCCCCTCTGTGGAGGGCATTTGGGGGCTGACGGCCGCTCTCCTGCCCTCTTGCAGACGTTGACGTTCCTCAGCCCGACGAGAAGTCCATCATCACCTACGTCTCCTCTCTCTACGACGCCATGCCTCGCGTGCCCGATGTGGTGGACGGCGTCAAGGCCAACGTGAGTGGGGGGCATTTGGGGGGCAGAAGAGGCCAGGGGGGGGCTTGGGGTTGGGACCTTCCTCTGACATCTCCCTCTCGCCCCTCCAGGAGCTGCAGCTGCGCTGGCAGGAGTACTATGAGGTGGTGACGCTGCTCCTGCAATGGATCCGGCACCACACGGTGGTCTTTGAGGAGCGCAAGTTCCCCTCCAGCTTTGAGGAGATTGAGGTGAGAGATCCACCTCCCATCTTGGCCCTTGTCCACCTCTCCCACCTGAGCCCCCCACTGCTCTGCCCCCGCAACCTGGCTCTCCCTGGCAGGACGCCCCCCCACGACCTTTCCCCCTTTGGCCCTGCCCCAGTCGCCTGCTTCCAAGCCTGTCCCTCCAGGCTGGGTCTCCTGAGTCAGGGCCGGGCCGGTGGCTCCCCTCCTCGGCTCCCTTCCCCCTTCCCTGGCTGGCACCGGATGAAAGGGCAGGCTGTGCGCTCCCTCCTCCTTGGTCATGAGAGGATCCTGGCGGCTGCCAGCGTTAGGGCAGGCGTGCCCAGGCAGGGTGCCCAGGGGAAGGAGGCCCAGGAGTGCGAGTTTTACGGGCTGCTCTGGCAGAGGTCCAGGGGGCCAGGCTGAGCGCCTCCCAACAGCATCCAGATACCTCTCTGGCCCTGGGCTGCCATAGAATCGAAGGACGGTAGAGTTGGAAGGGACCCTGGGGGTCATCTAGTCCAACCCCCCCTGCAAGGCAGGAGCTGCAAGTTAGGAAGCCACTAGAAAAGCAGAACAGGAGGATTGTGGGTATCTCTCAGCGGCTGGACAGGCAAGACGTCCCAGACTCAGACTTACCTGAACCCCCAGAGAGCCACGGCTGCCAGTCAGTGTGGGACATAGGGAGCTAAGGAGACCCCAAGGAATGGACCCACTCCTAATTCTCTTTCCTGTGCCAGAGACGGGCAGTGCCAGCCTTTGCCCACAAACCCCGGAGAGTCCAACGCTCTGCTCTCCCCCCCGCTGACCCCCGCTAACCCCCGTTTCCTCCCCCCACCCCAGATCCTGTGGCGCCAGTTCCTGAAGTTCAAGGAGACGGAGTTGCCCGCCAAGGAAGCCGACAAGAACCGCTCCAAGGCCATCTACCAGTCTCTGGAGGTGAGAGCGGCTCTTCTCTCACCGCCCCATCTTGCTATGGGGCAGGCTTGGGGAAACGCGTGGGGTAGCGCTGGGTGGGGGCTGCGTTGCGATCTGGCCAATGTCCTTTGATGGCTGCTTAATCCTTTAACGGGGGGCCTGTTTAGGCCGTGGGGTGGGACAGGTCTAGGTCTTCAGAGGCCAGTCCCCCTCCCCTGGCAGTTTGCAGACTCTGAAGCTCTGGGGAAGGAGGGCCCCCAGCGCAGTGACATAATAATAATAATAATAATAATAATAATAATAATAATAATAATAATAATAATAATAATAATAATATTTATACCCCGCCCTCCTCGGCCAGAGCCGGACTCAGGGCGGCTAACACCAATAAAATCACAGTAAAAACACAATGAGGGGAAAAGGAAAAAAAACAACAGCTGCTGCTTGGCAGGCAGAAGGTGCCAAGTGCAACGCTCTCCAGCGTCTCTCTCTTTGGGCCTGGAGGAGGTGGAGCGATCCTGGCTCTGGACCTGCACCAGGTGGGGTCTGGCTGCCCTTGGCCAGCAGGGGAGGTCAGCCCAGGAATGTGGGCACACACGTATAGGCCCCTTGGGGCTCATCGGAGCATAGAGTTGTAGGAAGGGACCCCACGTGTCATCTAGTCCAGCCCCTGCAGTGCAGGCTGTCCAGTTGATTTGCCTTTCCTGTGACCGTTGTCTCCTCGTTTCTCTTCCCCCGGAGCAGCCGTCTGTCCAGTCTGGGCAGCTGAAGGTTCCTCCCGGCTACCACCCTCTGGACGTGGAGAAGGAGTGGGGCAAGCTGCACGTGGCCATCCTGGAGCGGGAGAAGCTTCTGCGCTCCGAGTTCGAGAGGTGGGGCAGCTGTGCAGTTGGAAGTCCGCCTGCCTGGGGGGCGGAGGCACAGAGAGAGGGTGCCACTCCCTCCTTCCTTGGTGGGGGGGGGAGGGAGCACGAGAGTCCGGCTGGGTCCCTCCCCCTCCCTCCCTCTCCCCCCTCCGCCCCAACCGGCTGCCAGCCCAGCCCAGCTTTAATGGGAAACACACGGTTGGTGACTCATCTGCGCCGATCTCTTCAGGAAACGGCACAGCTTGAACCGCAGAGTCCGGCCGGGGAGGCAGCCGCGAGCAGCATCAGGAACAGCTGCTGGTGGGCCCCGGGGCTCCGCTTTTGCTGGGAGGGGGGGCTGGGGAGGCCGGTGGGAGATGCCCAGAGGTGGGGGCACAATGCTGGGAGGCGTCTGCACTGACCTGTCGCCTTTCCCTCCTCCAGGTTGGAGCGCCTGCAGCGCATTGTCAGCAAACTTCAGATGGAGTCGGGTCTCTGCGAGGAGCACCTCAACCAGGCGGACACCCTCCTGCAGTCGGTGAGAGGCCCTTTCTGTGGGCTGGGCCCCTGCTTGGGCCCCGGACCTTGGGGCGGTCTGCTCTGCAGGGCCGGTTGGTGAGCTGCTTCCCCTTCTCCCCGCAGGACATCCGCCTGCTGGCTGCAGGGAAGGCGCCCCAAAAGTCGGCCGAGATCGAGCGCGACCTGGACAAAGCCGATGCCATGATCCGCCTGCTCTTCAACGATGTGCAGGCGCTCAAGGATGGACGCCACCCGCAAGGGGAGCAGATGTACCGCAGGTCAGCAGCGCTGCTCCTCCTCCGGCCCCCGCGGGGCTTCCTGTGGCCCCCACGGGCCTCTGCTCACTCCATGCTTGCCTGGGCTGCTCTGCAAAAGCCAAGAGCGCCCCCTGTGCCTGATGGCAGCAGGTGGTAGTGCAGGGCGAACGCTCCTCAGTGATGTGCCAAGGGGTGTCTGGCATAAGCAGGGGGTCCCCTCCCCAGAATGTGAAGGCAGGTGCTTAGCGCCCCCTTGTGGCAACTTACACCCAGCATCTAGTCCGCTGAATGCACCCCATTGCTGCTGCTGCCAGGAGGTCCCCCTGGCAGGCGACTCCCCCACTGCCCCCGCTCACCGCCCCCTTCCTCCCGCAGGGTCTACCGCCTGCACGAGCGCCTGGTGGCCATCCGCACAGAATACAACCTGCGCCTGAAGTCTGGGTCGGCCCCCATCGCCCAGGTCACGGTGCCCGTCACGCAGCGCCCGCCGCGCCAGGAGCTGGACGACGTCACCCTGCGCTACCTGCAGGACCTGCTGGCCTGGGTGGAGGACAACCAGCGGCGCCTGAACGCGGCCGAGTGGGGCGTGGACCTGCCCACCGTGGAGTCTCAGCTGGGCAGCCACCGCGGACTCCACCAGTCCATCGAGGAGTTCCGCGCCAAGATCGAGAGGGCAAGAGCGGATGAGGTGAGGCCCCCCCCCATTGCCAGCTGCCCTCCCCGTGGCACTGCCTGGACTTAGAGTTGAAAGGGACCCCTGAGGGTCCTCTAGTCCAGCCCTCTGCAATGCAAGAATCACAGAAATGGGACCCTGACCCCTTTGCCTATTGTTAACAGGAATAATATTATTGCACCCACCATAATTGTCCCTCTGAAAGGAGGAAATTTTTGGGGGGGGTAGGAGGTCCTCTGAAATGTGGGTTTCCCCCTTTTGGTCACCAGGACTGTAAGCTCCGTTCCGCTGCTCAGAACCAATTCTAGGGACAGCATCCTTTTTGCCCTCTGCCTGGGCTCTGCTTTGGAGGCAGGGGTGTCTAAGGAGAAGCCAAATAAATCCCCCATGCCTCCCCCCACTTGGTGGGCATGCCGTGCCCAAGGTGCCAGGCAGAGGCAGCTCCCTCTCCATTGCCCCCCCCCAATTTCACATGCAAAGGGGAGGGGGGTTGTGGGGTGGTGCTGTGCGCCTGCCCTTGCGTCTGCCGTATGTCTGCTGCATGTCCTGGAACTCTCGGCCTTTTTCTTCCTTCCTTCTTGCCCCCCCCCCAGGCCCAGCTCTCCCCCGGCCCACGAAGTGCCTACCGGGACTGCCTGAACAAGCTGGACTTGCAGTATGCCAAGCTGCTGGTGAGGAGCATGTGGGCTGAGGGCAGGGAGGGGGAGGGGCTGGATCCCGGTCTCTCCAGGGCATGAACAGGATCAACTGTCTCCTCCTGGACCCTGTGCATGATCGTCACCTGAGGCTTTTCTTCAGGTGCCTCTTCCACAAGAGAACTCGAGGGCAGTACAAAAGGGCCTTTTCTGCAGTGGCTCCCCACTTGTGGGATGCTCTCCCCAGGGATGCTTGCCAGGCACCTTCACTGCTTATCTACAGACCCCAGGCATTCCTCTTCTCCCGGGCCTTTGGCTAAATAAGCAGTCCGTGGCCTTTTAAATTGTTGGGGGGGGGGTATTTTTTTAAAAAAAAATATTGTGCATTTTGCATTTTGATGTTGTCAACTGCCCTGTGGTCTTTGGATTAAGAGCAGTATATACATTTGCTAAATAATAATAATAATAATAATAATAATAGACACGGTTCCTTGTGTGTTCCTGTCCTCCAAAATGTGGGTCTTGGCACTCAGAAGAGAAGCCAATGGGGCTTGTGGGCAGGAGAACCCGGGCAAACGAAGGAAAGAGGGCAAATCCTTTCTCTGCCTTGCACAGCCCAGCCTTGGGACCCTCCTTGGTGTTGGCCCCATCCCAGCTTGGAGGACAGGGTGGCGAGGGCAGGCTGTCCCCAGAGGGAGGAGGAGGAGGAGAGGGTGGGTGCCCCTGTGCGCGTGCAGAGGCAGGCCGGGCGCCTGACCCCGTCCCTGCTGTGTCCTTGCAGAACTCCTCCAAGGCCCGCCTGCGCCACCTCGAGAGCCTCCAGGCGTTTGTGGCGGCTGCCACCAAGGAGCTGATGTGGCTGAACGAGAAGGAGGAGGAGGAGGTCAACTACGACTGGAGCGAGCGCAACAGCAACATGGCCGCCAAGAAGGAGAGCTACTCTGTAAGGCCACATCCTCTTGGGGAGGTGGGGGGTGGCTTGGGGGGCTGCTGCCCTTTGCCCGCTGCAGCCCCCTCTGCCCGCCCTTTGCCCACTGACTGTGCCTTATCTGCCCCGTCCCTCAGGGCTTGATGCGGGAGCTGGAGCAGCGGGAGCGGAAGATCAAGGAGATCCAGAGCACGGGAGACCGGCTGCTGAGGGAGGAGCACCCGGGCAAGCAGACTGTGGAGGTGAGGCTGGGCGCGAGGCCAGGCAGGATCGGGGCCCAGTGGGGAGCAAGGCTTGCCAGCAGATCCCATGACGGCTGCAGCTCGTGATGGCTGTGGTTGCCTCTGCCACGTGGGCCTCATGAGGCCTCGGCGGGCAGCCACATCCTGGCATTATCTCTCCGGGGGTGTGCCCCACCCCACTTTCCTGCCCCATGGCTGAGCTTCTCTCCCCCCCGTCTTTTCCAGGCCTTCCAGGCTGCCCTGCAAACCCAATGGAGCTGGATGCTCCAGCTCTGCTGCTGCATTGAGGCCCACCTGAAGGAGAACACCGCCTACTTCCAGGTAAGTGGGCGGGGGGCTGGCCGGGCAGGACTCCCGCTACTCCTCCAGGGCTGAGCTGCTCCCCTTCTCCCCTGCAGCCAGCCAGCTGCCCTCCTGCGGATGCTTTTGGTCCCCAATTGTCCCTGGGGAGGAGGGCGGCACCTCTGGGTTGCTTTCCTCCTGCTAGATGCAGCTGGGCATCTCCTCACCCGCCTCTCCCTCTCCCCAAGTTCTTCTCCGACGTGAAGGAGGCGGAGGAATTCCTGCGGAAGACCCAGGAGACCATGCGGAAGAAGTTTGTCTGCGACCGCTCCATCACCGTGACGCGCCTGGAGGACTTGCTGCAGGACTCCCTCGTGAGTGCGGCCCCTGCGCCCCCACCTGGCATGCATTTGCACCATCAAAGGACATTCCCTGGGCTCACTTGGATAGCCAAACAAAGACAGCAGCCGGGAGTATAGAAGCAAAACAGCAGCCAGTAGGCCTGGTCTTTATTCAAGACTCTTGCCAACAGGACTTCCATGCGGTGGAGAAGCAGGAAGAAGCCCCGAAAAAAGGGATGCTTCCTCTTTTCTAAGTTTTCCCTTTTTCCTATAAACACCTTTGGTGAAGCATCATGCACACGTCATAGATACATCATGCATATGTCACAAACCGGGAGAGGTTTCTGGCAGAAACTGGTTCAACCCTCCTTGTCCACCACCAAACACCCATTGAGTGATACAATAGGAATATTTACAAGTTCCTGGTATTCCTGGTCAGGTCCGAGAACTCAATCCATTCCTGGAGGGTCTGCTGTTGTCTGTGGGATGACTACCTGTCTGGCGCCCATTTGCCAGGATGCCAGTGATTTTCTCCCAGGCAAGGAGGCTGCTGAGTACATGGTCTCAGGCTGGAGGGATCATGGCTGCCCACATCCCAGACCCCCCCCTTGCTAGCCATTCCTTTCCTGAACAGTGGAATGGTGCAAATCCGATACTGGAGCGATTTTGTATGACTTTCTAAAGTTTTCCCATTGAGCCAGTACAGTCATACCTCGGGTTAAATGTGCTTCAGGTTGAGCGCTTTCAGGTTGTGCTCCGCGGCGACCCAGAAGTAACGGGGCACATTACTTCCAGGTTCCGCTACTCGCGCATGCGCAGAAACGCAAAATGACGTCACGTGCATGTGCGGAATCGGTGAATCGTGGCATGCGCAGATGTTCAGTCGCGGGTTGTGTTCGCTTCTGGATGTGAATGGGACTCCGGAACGGATCCTGTTCGTATCCAGAGGTACCATTGTACTTAGATACATTTATCAGTGAATCATTGCATTTGGTAATGTGCAGCAGAGGCCCTTTGAATAGAGATAGGAGGAAACTGTGTGATGAAGTGTTTTGTGGGGACATTTGCAGGAGTGATTGTGTTGATACTGGTGAGGGGGCGCTGTATGATGTCTGCTGGAAGGGGAAAGCCTCCTTTCAACCTTTACATAAATTTCGGTAACACCCCCGTACCCTGCAGGGATTAGGGTGCTCTATGGGTCTCTTCCAGCTCTACTTCCCTGTGAGTCTAACTCTTCCTCTCCTGCCGCCCCTCTTTGTGCCCCCCCATGCCAGGAGGAGAAGGAGCACCTGGCTGAGTACCAGGGTCAGCTGGCCGGGCTGGCCAAGCGAGCCAAGGCCATTGTCCAGCTGAAGCCACGCAGCCCCAGCACCGCCCTCAAGGGACGACTGCCTCTCCAGGCCGTCTGCGACTACAAGCAGATGGAGGTGAGTGTGTGGGGGGGTCACGTGTCTGGAAACCGGGGGGGGGCGAACTGGGTCTGGGGTGCATCTTTTGAGGCTGCTCACTTCCTCCCCCCTCCGCAGATCACGGTGCACAAGGGCGACTCCTGCACCCTCCTCAGCAACGCCCAGCCGTACAAGTGGAAGGTGCTGAACGTGGCCGGGAGCGAGGCCACTGTGCCCTCCATCTGCTTCCTGGTGCCCCCACCCAACAAGGAGGCCCTGGAGGCCGTCAGCAGGTGAGTCAGCCTCACCCCACCCCCAACCCCCTTGCTTTCCTTTCTCCTTGAGGGCGTGGGGGGCAGATTAGAAACCATGATTAAATTCTTGGATCATATCAGCAGAGAGAGATATCGCTGAAGCTTCCACTGCCGCAAACTCACTCGAACACCACAGGAACTGGATCAGGCCCACGGGGGCCCCTCTAGCCCAGCCTCCTCTTCTCACAGTGGCCAACCAGTTGCCTCAGTGGGAAAGCCACAAGCAGGATGTGGGCACAAGAGACAACCCCCTCTGGGTGCAGAAGCGCTGCTGCCTGCAGCGCTGGAGGGCAAAGCAGAGCCACGACAGCTAGTGGCCATCCATAGACACCCCCAGGGCCTCTGCCCCCCCCGGCCCCACTTGAGGAGGAGAGCTGCTGTACTGCTCCTTGGGCTCTGGGGGTGGCATGGGGGCACTTTGCCTCTCTGCCCGCTCTGCTCTCTCTTTGGGGCAGGCGACCCTGGGGAACTCCCAACCCCCAAGACGGTTCTGCAGCCTCCTCTTCCTCTTTGCCTGCAGGTTGGAGGGCAGCCACCAGAGCCTGCTGACCTTCTGGCACCAGCTGCACATCGACATGCAGAGCCTCCTCTCCTGGCAGTACCTGCAGAGGGACATCCAGCAGATCCAGTCCTGGTCGCTGCTCATAGTGAGGACCGGGGGCTAAGGGAGCTCTGGGGTGGGTGGGAGGGAGGGGTGGGTGTGTGGGGCCCCCAAGCTGGGCTCGAGGGGGGAGGGGAAGAGCCCCCTCCTGACCTGGCCTCTCCGCCTCCCCCAGTTCCGGACGATGCCCCCCGAGGATTACCGGAAGACCTTGCGCAGCCTGGAGACCCACTACCAGGAGTTCCTGCGCAACAGCCAGGACTCCCAGAACTTCCTGCCGGATGACCGGCTGCACGTGGAGCGCGAATACACCCTCTGCACCCAGAAGTACGAGATGCTGCTGCGCGGCCTGGAGAAAGGTGAGGTGCCCCGGGAAAGGGGCCCCGTGGCTCTTCCATGGGGGGGGGGGGAGGCCCACTTGGGGGGAGGGATCTCCCTGGCATCTGCAGCCAAATAAATCTCCTGGGTCCCCTTTCAGGAGGCAGGAGGCGCAGCTAGAGAGTCACAGCCACCCAACCACTGCTTAAAAGCCCCAATGCAAGAGAGCCCCCCTGCCTGCTTCCCAGGTTCCTGAGGGGCTGCCTCTGTCTTGCTTTGGGTTCCTTCCAAGTCTACACTTCTATGTGCCCTCCCTCCTTCCTGAATTGCCCCCCATGGCAACAACAACAACAATTATTATTATTTATACCCCACCATCCCCAACCAAGACTGGGCTCAGGGTGGCTAACACCCGATATAAAAACAAATTAATTGAAATACAACTTCAAAACAAGATTAAAATACAACATTAAAATATATTAAAATACAGCCTCATTTCAATGGAAACTCAAATCAAAAACTTTTTTGGGGATGAAAACGTCAAGTCTTCACCAAGGCTAACTTTCCAGACTGGTCCTACGTGGGCCAGAAAAAAGCCAGGGGAGTCCCCAAATATGAGGTGTTGCAGGCAGAGGGTGTTTCTCAAACTGTCCTTCCATCCCTGCTCAGCTGGACCCCAGTCAGTCCCCTTTCCTCCCACAGGCTGGCTTTGGAGGCCTGGCCCAGGAGACCCCTCCCTCCCCTTGTCCCCCTTCCCCACAATGGAAGTTGTGTCTGCCTGTGCCTCCACTCACCTGGGCTTGGTTTGTTTGGGGCCGCAGGGGAGCAAGAGGAGTCTCTCTGCAGGAACTTCATCTCTCAGCTGAAGGACATCCGCCTGCAGCTGGAGGGCTGCGAGTCCCGCACCATCCACAAGATCCGCTCTCCGCTGGACAAGGACCCTGCCAAGGAGTGTGCCCAGCGCATCAGTGACCAGCAGGTACTGCCCCCCCATGCATCCCTTCCTACCCCGGCAGGAGAGCAGCTGCTGCCAAGTCTGACGCTGCTACCGCCAGTGCGGATCCTGCCCCCACTTTGTGGCTTCACTGCGGGCTTCATTCTGCTCCCTCCTCTGCCTCTCTCCTCCCTCTAGCAAATCCACCTGGAACTGGAGGGCATCAAGAAGAACCTGGGCAAAGTCAGCGCCAAGACGGAGGAGGTGTTGGCGCAACCAGAGCAGGCCAGCTCGGCCCCCACCCTCCACTCGGAGCTGGACATCACCCTGCAGAAGATGGACCAGGTCTACAGCCTCTCCAGCATCTACCTGGAAAAGTAGGTCCTTCTCTCACCTGGGACTCTGTCCGCCCACCTGGTCAGCTGGGAGTTGCCAGGAGCTGCTTCCACTTCCCGAGGCCTTTGGTGCCCTCTTCCCTTGGGTCTGGCGGGGGCCCTTCTCTGCACCTGCTGCCCGGACAATGGGGCTGCTTTTGCATCCTCCGTCTACTGTCTCCTTTCTCCCATTGGCTCTTTCACTGGTCTTGGTCTGTGTTTGCCCAACCTGTGAAAACATTTGGGAGATGAACCTGTGAGGAAGGAATATTTGTGGGGTGGGGTGAGAGCTTCTTGGCTCTTCTTCCGCAGGGGAAGCGAGTTGCCTCATCCACATGGACCCACCTGGTCCTTGACCTTGCCATTCCCCCTGGCGCTTCTGTTGGTGCCATTGCCAGGTGCCCAGGAGGTGCCTTCTCAGTAGTAACCCCCCTTGCGGCGTCTCAGCACCTGCCTGAAGGTCATTTTGGTGCCAGGCAAATCATTTTTTCTTGCTCCAGGCCTTTTTTGCATGGCGCTGCCGCTCTGGCTGGGTTTTGCTCTCTTGCTGTTTTGAATTGACGTAGCGCTGCCTTCTTTTGTGCCAAACCCATAAAATTCTTCCATTCAGCCATTCATTTGCATCACAAATAAATGCAGCATTTGAAAGCAGCCCTGTGGAGGGACGTTTTTTAATGTTGGGTGTTTATTCTGCTTTTATATTTGCTGGAAGCCGCCCAGAGTGGCTGGGGTGCAAATAATAAAATTACTATTATTATTAAGCGACCACCCATGTCACAACTTTTGCACGCTGCCATCGGGTGTCTGGAGCAAATGGGAGGCTGCTTGGGCTCTCCTTCCCTTCCCACGCAAACCTCCAGCTCCCCTCTTCTCGCCCCACAGGCTGAAGACCATCAACCTGGTGATCCGCAGCACGCAAGGGGCAGAGGAGCTGGTCCGCAAGTACGAGGAGCAGCTGAAGGATGTGCAAGCGGTGCCCTCTGACCTCAAGGCCCTGGAGGCCACCAGGACGGAGCTGAAGGTGCCTGCTGAATTTATTATTTCGGTCCCAGACCAGTTCCAGCCCACATACAATATCAAAGAAGTCATAAAACAAGATAGGGATACATTTGAATTTGCAATTAGGTATAACAGGGGCAATACAGATATAGCAACAGTTTAAAAATATATAAATTAAAACTTAGTCACTAACATATACCGTATTTTTCACTCTATAACACGCACCCAACCATAACACGCACGTAGTTTTTAGAGGAGGAAAATCCGTAGGCATGCCACCCGTAGGCATTCCCTCCATAACACGCACAGACATTTCCCCTCACCTTCTAGGAGGAAAAAACTGAGTGTTATGGTGCAAAAAATACGGTAACCTAAAATTATCATTTAAAAACTTAATCATTATGATAGCACAGCTTGTTCCCTAAGTTTTATGACAATCACACAGAATTTGGCTACCCTTAATGTGACCTCAGGATCATTGTCCTCTACCAGGGATTTTAGACATTGAAGTTCAGATTCATTTGGAGATTTTTGCATAGCAGGGGTAATAAATACCGAGCATATATTCCCGTAGAAATGGCAGCGTAACAAGGCATGAGAGAGTTTCTACCTCCATCAAGCCACAGGGGCAACTTGTTCTACGTATGGTTTACCCTCAGATCTGCCCTGCAATAAGGCAAATGGCAGCACGTTGAATCTAGCAAGGGTAAATGACTGTCTGGTATTTGTAATTTTGACAAATAATTTGCTGGGGTAAATCCTCTCCCACTATCTTTTATTGCTGGGTGTTTATTCATCTCGCTCACATGGCATTGCAGTTCCACATCCCAAATTGGTTGGCAGATTAATGCTCTAGCTTTCTCATAACCTACAGCTATCAGGGCCTGTGGGGAAAACCCCAGGCCTCTTAGCTTTGGTGCCTGCTTGGGCCAGGAGGGTGGGGAGATGGGAGGGGGCCCGGCCCCAGCCGCTCCTTGCGAGGAGGCCTGACCCTTTGCGTCTTCCTCCGCAGAGCCTGCGTGGGCAGGTGGAAGGGCACCAGCCCATCTTCAGCACCCTGGAGGCTGACCTGGGCAAGGCCAGCGAGGTGAACGAGCGGATGGTGCAGGGCCACAGTGAGAGGGACATTGACCTGGACCGCTACCGGGAGCGGGTGCAGCAGCTGCTGGAGCGCTGGCAGGCCATCCTGGCCCAGATTGACCTGCGCCAGAGGGAGCTGGACCAGCTGGGGCGCCAGCTGCGCTACTACCGCGAGAGCTACGACAGCCTCATCCAGTGGATCCAGGACGCCCGGCAGCGCCAGGAGAGCCTCCAGGCCATTCCCATCACCAGCAGCAAGGGCGTGCGGGAGCAGCTGCTGCAGGAGAAGGTGAGGCGGCCCAGCCCTGCCCTGTCCTGAGCCTGCAGCTCTATCTCATTGCGGAGGGAAGCGGAGGCTCTCCAGGCCTCTGTCATTGCCTCCCTGGTGGTGGCCCGTCCTCTGCTGACTTTGGAGGGGGTCCCTCTTGGGTCTGTGGGGAGGCTGCCAGCGTCGCCTCGTGGGGTGGCTCACTAGGGGTTTCCACCGCAAGGCCGATGCCAAGCGAAAGCTCTGAGCAACTGCTCCTGGCCTTCCCTCTGGGTGAAGCTATCTGAAGGGCTCTTGGCGGCCCACCAGCTAAAGCACAGCCCCCCACCCCACAGAATCCCCTCGCCTGATCGATAAGGACATGGGTTGGCATGGCAGTGGCCCTTCTTCAGCCCAGAGCCTCTTCCCTGCCCATCCTCTCCCTGCGGGGCCACTGACAGCTGTCTTTGTTTCCCTAGAAACTCCTGGAGGAATGTGAGCGCAACCGGGAGAAGGTGGAGGAGTGCCAGCGCTTTGCCAAGCAATACATTGATGCCATCAAGGTGAGGCAGCCAGGGGCCGGAGAGACCGGGGTCCCGTACAAATGGAGGAGGGGAGTTGGGGGCCATGGGGAGTTGGGGCTTCCAGGTGCTGACCCTGCCTCTGCCCCTTCCCCCTTCTTACAAGGATTATGAGCTCCAGCTGGTGACCTACAAGGCGCAGGTGGAGCCAGTGGCCTCTCCAGCCAAGAAGCCCAAAGTTCAGTCGGCCTCGGACAGCATCATCCAGGAGGTGAGAGGGGCACCCTTGGGTGGGGCTGGGGGGAGAGGGACCCTGGAGCCATCCTGGGCAGCAGGCACAGTGGAGATATGGCACGCAAGGCAGACTGAGTTTTCCCGCCATAGAATCATGGAGTTGGAGGGGACCCCAAGGATCCTCTAGTCCACCCCCTGCAATGCAGGAATCTCAGCTAAAGTGTCCATGACAGATGGCCAACCAAGCTCTGCTTAAAAACTTCTGAGGAAGGAGAGGCCACAACTTCCCAAGGGAGACCGTCCCCCTGTCAAACAGCTCTTACTGTCAGAAAGTTTCCCCTGATGTTCAGTGGGAATCTCCTTCCTTGTAACTTGAAGCCATTGGCTTGGATTCTACCCTCCAGAGCAGAGAAAACAAGCACGTTCCCTCTTCCATGTGACAGCCCTTGAGATATTTGAAGATGGATGAGTGGAAATGGGCTTCTGACCATGTGCTAGATATTTGCCTTTAGAGAGAGCTTTTTCTCACTCTGCCTTGTATTGCTAAAAGAATTGGCAGGAGATCCAGAACAGACAAAAGGAAAGGCTCCTTTGCTCACTGCATATTTAGGACTGTGGAACTCACTGCACCAGGATGTGCAGGGATGGCTGCCAGTTTTGATGGCTTTGGAAAGAGAAAGTCACAGAGGAGGAGTGGGTGGCAACTAGACATGTCCCTGGGGAGCAGGAGAGGCCTTCTGAGGTGGCTCCCTCTGGCCGAGTCCAGTCAGGGGCCTTGGAAGACCTGGGGGGCTGTAGTCTCGCTCCCCACCCCGCCGTGACCTTGCTGCTTTCTGGTCTCCCAGTACGTGGACCTGCGGACGCGCTACAGTGAGCTGACCACGCTGAGCAGCCAGTACATCAAGTTCATCACTGAGACGCTTCGGCGGCTGGAGCAGGAGGAGGTGAGTGCGCAGCCTGTGGGAGGAGGGGTGGGGGGGCAGCATGCCTTGGCTGCATCCTTCTCCCCCTGCCCCCCCCCTCGCGGTCCATCCTGGGCCAGAGCATCCCTCTTGCCTGACTGCCTCTTCCGCATGACTAACGCTGGACCGCGAGGCCCCCTAACCCGCCGGGGGGGGGGCTCCTCCACTGGGCCTGTCCCGTCCGCCAAAGGCACTTCCCAGATACACACTTAGTACAGCTGCACCTGCTTCTTGGGCCGGGGCTCCTTCCCGCCCGGTTCCCCTGTCCTGTCCTGTCCTCTTCTGCTCTGAAATGCTCCTCTGTAACCTTTCTAACTCTTGATTTCTGCCTTCTGGAAGTCCAGCCGCTTTGCCAGTGCTTTGTCTTGGGGGATGTTTGTATTGGTTGGGGATCTAATGGAGGGTTAAAAACCAGGAGGATCCGGGCCTTTTCTGCACCAGGTACTCCACTGTGCGCATGCCAACACCCCCCCCCCCACATGGACCCTGTTCCCTGCGCACACCTTGCTTCTCCCTCCCCCCTCCTGCAACTCCTGTGGGCCGAACCCTTTGTGGTTCCTAGTAGGTTGAGAAGGGCAGAAATTCAGATGCAATGGAGAAGCAGAGTTTTTTGGAGCGGGATGGGGGGGGTCCTAGTCCTGCCCACTGTCTGGAGGCAGCCAGGAGAATGGAGGGGGGTTGCCATCACCGCTGCCCTGCTGCGATCATCTGCCATTCCTGCCACCGCCTGCGTTCTCCAGCCAGGAGGTGCCGGCCTCTTGGGCTGAGAATTCGGGGCTTCTGTCTCTGTGGTGCGCTCTGTGCATGCTCCGTTTCCCCCTCCCTCCCTGCCTCGTGGGGAGCGGAGCAAGGGAGCAGACCCCTGGGCTTTCCACCCGGTCAAGTGTTCTTCACTTCTCCCCTGGCCCCCCCTGCAGGTGTTCCTTGGGGCACCTGGAGGGCAGGCCTGGGACCTGGCGATGAAGTTGGCAGCCTTTGTGAGCCTGCAGGGGGCCGCCCGGGGGCCGTGGGGCTTTCTACCTTCTCACTGCGCCCTTCCTCGCCTCACACCCCACGTTGGGCTGGCTCCTCCTCCCCACCTTTGCTGAGCGGATGGGTCTTCCCTGTTGCCACTTTTGGGCTGTCCGTGGGGGGAGTCTCTGCCTGGAGGGCACCTTGCTTCTCGCTGCCTGGTGAGCCCGGTGGAGGTGTGCCAACTGCTCTCTTCGTCCTGCAGCCATTTTGTCTTCCGTTGTGTGTGTCTTTGCCATCGTCTTGCGTCCGTCTCTCCATCCATCCATCCATCCATCCATCCATCCATCCATCCATCCATTCGTCATCCTTGGTTTGTGGGTCTTCCCTGCTTTCTTGCCTGTCGTACTAAGTGAGAGACGTGAGCGCCAGCTTCTCCCGACTGCCACACGTCTTCCCGCAGCCTCCTGGGAAGAGCCGCCACCGCCGCCACACCATGCCCCCCACCCCTGCCCCTCTCACTCACCCCCTGCTCCAATCTCTCTCTTGTGTGATCTTTCTTTCTCTCCCCCCTTCCTTCTCTCTGCTCCCTTCCCCCCCCCCACAGAAAACTGCAGAGAAGCTGAAGGAGGAGGAGCGGAAGCGCCTGGCCGAGGTGGAGGCGCAGCTGGAGAAGCAGAAGCAGCTGGCGGACGCCCATGCGCAGGCCAAGGCGCAGGCCGAGAGGGAGGCCCAGGAGCTGCAGCGCCGCATGCAGGAGGAGGTCAGCCGGAGGGAACTGGTGGCCGTGGACGCCGTGCAGCAGCAGCAAACCATCCAGCAGGAGCTGAAGCAGATGAAGCTCAGCTCGGACGCGCAGATCCAGTCCAAGCTCAAGGTGATCGAGGAGGCCGAGATCAACCGCCGGAAGGTGGAGGAGGAGATCCACATCATCCGCCTGCAGCTGCACGCCACCGAGAAGCAGAAGGCGGCTGCGGAGGGAGAGCTGCAGGCGCTGCGGGACAGCGCCGAGGAGGCCGAGCGCCAGAAGCGCCTGGCCCAGGAGGAGGCTGAGCGCCTGCGCAAGCAGGTTAAGGACGAGGCCCAGAAGAAGAAGGAGGCGGAGGACGAGCTGAAGCGCAAGGTGCAGGCCGAGCAGCAGGCCGCCCGCGAGAAGCAGAAGGCCCTGGATGACCTGCAGAAGCTGCGCCTGCAGGCGGAGGAGGCCGAGCGCAGAATGAAGCAGGCCGAGCTGGAGAAGGAGCGGCAGGTGCACGTGGCCCAGGAGATGGCGCAGAAGAGTGCCGAGGCAGATCTGCAGAGCCGGCGCCTCTCCTTCGCTGAGAAGACTGCGCAGCTGGAGATGTCCCTCCAGCAGGAGCACATCACGGTCACCCACCTGCAGGAGGAAGCCGAGAGGCTGAAGAAGCTGCAGCTGGACGCAGAGGCGTCTCGCGAGGAGGCCGAGAAGGAGGTGGAGAAGTGGCGCCAGAAGGCCAACGAGGCGCTGCGCCTGCGGCTCCAGGCGGAGGAGGTGGCCCACAAGAAGGCCCTGGCGCAGGAAGAGGCTGAGAAGCAGAAGGAGGACGCGGAGCGCGAGGCCCGGAAGCGGTCGAAGGCCGAGGAGTCCGCCCTGCGCCAGAAGGAGCTGGCCGAGGAGGAGCTGGAGAAGCAGCGGAAGCTGGCCGAGGGCACCGCCCAGCAGAAGTTCCTGGCGGAGCAGGAGCTCATCCGCCTGAAGGCCGAGATGGAGAACGGGGAGCAGCAACGGCTGCTGCTGGAGGAGGAGCTCTTCCGCCTCAAGAATGAGGTGAGCGAAGCCATCCAGAAGCGCAAGGAGCTGGAGGAGGAGCTGGCCAAGCTGCGGGCCGAGATGGAGCTGCTGCTGCGGAGCAAGACCAAAGCAGAAGAGGAGACCCGCTCGACCAGCGAGAAGTCCAAGCAGATCCTGGAGGCCGAGGCCAACAAGCTGCGGGAGCTGGCGGAGGAGGCGGCCCGGCTGCGTGCCCTCTCGGAGGAGGCCAAGCGGCAGCGGCAGCTGGCGGAGGAGGAGGCCGGCCGGCAGCGGGCAGAGGCCGAGCGGATCCTCAAGGAGAAACTGGCGGCCATTAATGATGCCTCGCGGCAGAAGGCGGAGGCTGAGATCGCCCTGAAGGAGAAGGAGGCTGAGAACGAGCGGCTGCGACGGCTGGCGGAGGATGAGGCCTACCAGCGGAGGCTGCTGGAGGAGCAGGCCTCCCAGCACAAGCAGGACATTGAGGAGAAGATCACTCAGCTGAAGAAGTCCTCTGAAGGTGAGCTGGAGAGGCAGAGGACCATCGTGGACGAGACGCTCAAGCAACGGCGCATCATTGAGGAGGAGATCCGCATCCTCAAGATCAACTTTGAGAAGGCCTCTGTGGGGAAGACGGACCTGGAGCTGGAGCTGGGCAAGATCAAGCAGAGCGCTGAGGAGATCCAGCGCAGCAAGGAGCAGGCCGAGAACGAGGCTGAGAGGCTGCGGCAGCTGGCCCTGGAGGAGGAGAACCGCCGCCGGGAGGCTGAAGCCAAGGTCAAGCAGATCCTGGCTGCTGAGCAGGACGCAGCCCGTCAGCGCAAGGCAGCCCTGGAGGAGGTGGAGCGGCTGAAGGCGAAGGTGGAGGAGGCCAAGAGGCAGAAGGAGCTGGCGGAGAAGGAGTCGGAGAGGCAGATCCAGCTGGCCCAGGAGGCTGCCCAGAAAAGGATTGCGGCAGAAGAGAAGGCCCACTTGGCCGCCGTGCAGCAGAAGGAGCAGGAGCTGCTGCAGAGCAGGCAGCAGGAGCAGAGCATCCTGGACAGGCTGAAGGAGGAGGCTCTGAGGGCCAAGAAGGCGGCCGAGGAAGCAGAGTTTGCGCGGGTCAAGGCGGAGCAGGACGCAGCCCTCTCCCGGCAGCTGGTGGAGGAAGCCGAGCACATGAAGCAGCGGGCGGAGGAGGAGGCCCAAGCCAAGGCCAAGGCCCAGGAGGATGCGGAGAAGCTCCGGAAGGAGGCTGAGCTGGAGGCGGCCAGGAGGGCCCAGGCGGAGCAGGCGGCCCTCAAGCAGAAGCAGCTGGCGGACGCCGAGATGGAGAAGCACAAGAAGTTTGCGGAGCAGACCCTGCGGCAGAAGGCCCAGGTGGAGCAGGAGCTGACCAAGGTCAAGCTTCGGCTGGAGGAGACGGACCACCAGAAGAACATCCTGGAGGAGGAGCAGCAGCGGCTGAAGAACGAGGTGACGGAGGCCATGAAGCAGAAGGCGCAGGTGGAGGAGGAGCTCTTCAAGGTGAAGATCCAGATGGAGGAGCTGGTCAAGCTGAAGCTGCGCATTGAGGAGGAGAACAAGATCCTCATTATGAAGGACAAGGACAACACCCAGAAGTTCCTGGCGGAGGAGGCGGAGAAGATGAAGCAGGTGGCGGAGGAGGCCGCCCGGCTGAGCGTGGAGGCGCAGGAGGCCGCGCGCATGCGCAAGCTGGCAGAGGAGGACCTGGCGCAGCAGCGGGCGCTGGCGGAGAAGATCCTGAAGGAGAAGATGCAGGCGGTGCAGGAGGCCACGCGGCTGAAGGCCGAAGCGGAGATGCTGCAGAAGCAGAAGGAGCTGGCCCAGGAGCAGGCCAAGAAGCTGCAGGAGGACAAGGAGCAGATGCAGATGCAGCTGGCCGAGGAGGCCGAGGGCTTCCAGAAGACCCTGGAGGCGGAGCGCCGCCGGCAGCTGGAGATCACGGCCGACGCCGAGCGCCTGAAGGTGCAGGTGACGGAGCTGAGCCTGGCCCAGACCAAGGCCGAGGAGGAGGCCAAGCGCTTCAAGAAGCAGGCGGAGGAGATCAGCCGCAAGCTGCACGACACGGAGCTGGCCACCCGGGAGAAGGTGACGCTGGTGCAGACGCTGGAGATCCAGAGGCAGAAGAGCGACCAGGATGCTGAGGCGCTGCGGAAGGCCATCGCGGAGCTGGAGCAGGAGAAGGAGAGGCTGAAGCGCGAGGCGGAGCGGCTGCAGCAGCAGGCCGAGGAGGTACCCCTTTCCTTGTGCCCACAGGCCCCACCCCCAGGGCTCCCCCAGGGGAGGAAGGCACATGGAAGCTCCACCCACTCAGCAGCCCCGGGGCAGGGCAGGCTGTACCACTTCAGAGCGCAGGTGGGGGGGGGGTCACATTTTTGCTCAGGCTTTTGTACATCTGGTAAGAGGGTTGTGTGCCTTTTATGAAAAAGCAGTCTAGATAGCAGATGATCCTCTGTGTTAACAATCTCTGCAAATCAAATGAAACTGGACTACAAGGATAAAAGTCCGCTCCATGCTGTGATAGTTTATATTATTTTATTCTATTATTCATTTTGCATAGTGGAGCATTGAACAATGTGACCCCCCCCACCTACGTTCTGACATGGTTTTACAGTCCACTCTGCCCCCTCCTTCTGATGCACCTGAGACCACCTATGAGTCAAAGGCGGGTGGGAGAGAGGAGTGGTAGCCCAATTCTGGCAGTTGTGCAGAGAAGGGCCGGGGTTCTGCTGTCCTTCCTCAGAACAGCTGAACTCAGGATCCTTCAAGGAGAGGCCTGTCAAAAGGGAAAAGGCTGCCTTTGGGCAACTCCCATGTCTACTTTCCTCTGTGGTGGCCCACCCAGCACCCCTGGACTACAGCTCCCCCCCCCATTCCTGGCCATTGTCTGTGCTGGGGCCCAAGAGCAGCTGGAGGCCAGCTGTGCACAAGACTCGCTTAACCCAGAGAGGGCACCATTTGCTCCAGCACGTCCTGGTGCCACTTTCCAAGGAAGGGGTACAGTGTCCCTCTGTGCCCCCAACCCTTTCCCGCTGCTTGTTTACTCACATGGAAATTGTGGTAACTCCCTAACTTCCTCATGTGCTGCCTCTCAGGGCCAGCCAGGTTGACCCTTAACATGTGCCCCCCCTTCAGTGCTGGCTTTGAATGTAACCTGCTGTGTCGGCGTCTATTGACAGTTGACTGTTCTTTGGGCACTGTGTGCATATCGTGTGTAAGGCAACTGACCTCCCTTTTGTCTCCCTCCACCCCCAGATGCAGGTGGCTCAGAAGGAGCAGTTGCTCCAGGAGACTCAGATCCTCCAGCAGACTTTCCTGTCAGAGAAGGACATCCTCTTGCAGAAGGAGAGGTTCGTGGAGGAGGAGAAGGCCAAGCTGGAGAAGCTCTTCCAGGATGAGGTCAACAAGGCTCAGGGCCTAAAGGCGGAGCAGGAGCGCCAGCAGAAGCAGATGGAGCAGGAGAAGCAGCAGCTGGCGGCCACCCTGGAGGAGGCCAAGAAGAAGCAGGCGGAGGCCGAGGAGAATGTCCGCCGGAAGCAGGAGGAGCTCCAGCAGCTGGAAAAGCAGCGGCAGCAGCAGGAGAAGCTTCTTGCGGAGGAAAACCAGAAGCTGAGGGAGAAGCTGGAGAAGCTGCAGGAGGAGCAGCGGGTGGCCCTGGCTCAGACCAGGGAGATCATGATCCAGACCGATGACCTTCCCCAGGAGGTGGTTGTCCCATCCACGCAGGCACCTCAGTCGAAGGCTGTGCCCAACGGCCGAGACATGGTAGATGGCATCTCTCGGAACGGTGAGCCAGAACTGGCTTTCGATGGAATCCGTCAGAAAGTGCCTGCCAAGAAGCTGCTGGAGGCTGGCATCCTGAGCCGAAAGAACCTGGACAAATTGACCAAAGGGAAGGTGACGGTGGAGGAGCTCTCCAAGAGGGATGACATCAGGAGGTACCTGCAAGGCACCAACAGCATCGCCGGCCTGGTGGTTAAGCCGACCAACGAGAAAGTGAGCATCTACCAGGCCATGAAGCAGCAGCTGCTCAGCCCAGGCACAGCCCTCATCCTGCTGGAGGCGCAGGCTGCCTCTGGCTTCATCATCGACCCCATAAAGAACAAGCGGATGTCCGTCAACGAGGCTGTGAAAGAGGGAGTTGTGGGACCTGAACTGCACAATAAATTGCTGTCTGCTGAGAGAGCAGTGACTGGCTATAAAGACCCCTACACGGGGGAAAAGATCTCCCTCTTCCAAGCCATGACAAAAGATCTCATTGTGAAAGACCACGCGATCCGGCTCCTGGAAGCTCAGATTGCCACAGGAGGCATCATCGACCCCATCAATAGTCACCGCCTGCCCGTGGAAGTGGCCTACAAGCGAGGCTTCTTCGATGAAGAGATGCAGAAGATCCTCTCTGACCCCACGGATGACACCAAAGGCTTCTTCGACCCCAACACCCAGGAGAACCTGACTTACTTGCAGCTGATGGAGAGATGTGTGACCGACCCGGAGACTGGCCTCACTTTGCTGCCACTGACAGACAAAGCAGCCAAAGGCAGAGAGCTGGTCTACACCGACCAAGAGGCAAAAGACGTCTTCAGGAAAGCCACAGTGTCCGCTCCCTTCGGCCAATTCAAGGGGAAGACCGTGACCATCTGGGAAATCATCAACTCTGAGTATTTCACTGAGGAGCAGAGGCGGGACCTTCTGCGCCAGTACAAGACTGGAAAGATCACCGTGGAGAAGATAATCCGGCTGGTCATCACAGTGGTGGAGGAGAGCGAGAAGAAGAGCCAGCTCTGTTTCGATGGGCTCCGGGTGCCTGTCCCAGCTGCCGAGCTGCTGGAGAGCAAAATCATTGACAAGGATCTTTACAACCAGTTGCACCAGGGGAAGAAGTCCGTGAAGGATGTCGCCAACGATGAGGCCATCAAGAAGTATCTGAAAGGCTCGAGTGCCATCGCAGGCATCTTGGTAGAGTCAACAGGCCAGAAGTTATTGCTCAATGATGCCTTGAAGAAAAACCTCCTCAAGCCAGAGGTGGTCCTGATGCTCCTGGAGGCCCAGGCTGGAAGTGGATACATCATTGACCCCGTGAGGAATGAGTATCTCCCTGTGGACGAAGCCGTCAAATCTGGAATTGTTGGCCCTGAGTTGCATGAGAAGCTGCTGTCTGCAGAGAAGGCTGTGACAGGCTACAAGGACCCTTACACGGGGCAGGTGGTCTCGCTTTTCCAAGCACTGCAGAAAGGCCTTATTGCCAAGGAGACAGGGGTCCGTCTGCTGGACGCTCAGCTTGCCACCGGGGGCATCATTGACCCCGTGAACAGCCACCGCCTCCCCCTTGACGTTGCTTGCAAGCGAGGCTACTTCAGTGAAGAGATGCACAAGACGTTGTCTGCTCCAGCCGACGATGCCAAGCTGTACTATGACCCCAACGCCCAGGAGAAGGTCAGTTACGCTCAGCTGCAGAGGAAATGCCACGTTGACAAGCCGACGGGCCTTCGCCTGCTCTCCCTCTCTGACCAGGCTATCCAGGTTCAGCAGGAGGAGGTCTACTCTGATAGCCAGGCTAAGGAATCCTTTGGCAAGGCAGTGGTGGAAGTCCCAGCTGGCAGCTTGAAGGGCAAAACGGTCACAATCTGGGAGCTGATTCATTCTGAATATTTCACTGAAGAGCAGAGGCGGGAGCTGATACGGCAGTTCAAATCCGGCAAAGTCACCATCGAGAGGGTCATCAAAATAATTGTCACCATCATTGAAGAGACTGAGACCAAAAAGCAAGAGAAGCTGACCTTCAGTGGCCTGCGTGCCCCTGTGCCTGCCAGCGAGCTCTGGGAGTCCAAGATTCTCAGCAAGGCCCAGTATGAGCAGCTGAAGGAAGGGAAGAAGACCGTGAAGGACCTTTCCGAGACGGGGGACGTGAAGAGGTACCTCCAAGGGAGCGACTGCATTGCTGGTGTGTATGTGGAAGAAACCAAGGAGAAGCTGAGCATCTATGAGGCCATGAAGAAGAACCTGCTCCTGCCCAGCACAGCAGTTGTCCTCCTGGAGGCCCAGGCAGCCACAGGGTTCATGGTGGACCCAGTCAGGAACCAGAAGCTGTATGTCAATGAGGCGGTGAAGGCTGGCATTGTGGGACCAGAGCTCCATGAGAAACTGCTGTCCGCCGAGAAGGCTGTGACTGGGTACAAGGACCCTTACTCCGGGAACACCATCTCCCTCTTTGAGGCCATGAAGAAGGGGCTGATCCTCAGGGAACACGCCATCCGCCTGCTGGAGGCCCAGGTCGCTACCGGAGGCATCATCGACCCCGTGCACAGTCATCGTGTCCCCGTGGAGGTGGCTTACAAGCGAGGTTACTTTGATGAAGCACTGAACCGAACCCTCTTGGACCCCACAGATGACACCAAGGGCTTCTTTGACCCCAACACCAAGGAGAATCTTACTTACCTGCAGCTGAAGGAGAGGTGTATTGAAGACCCCGAGACCGGCCTCTATCTGCTGCCCTTGAAGCAACCTGAGAGACCCACCGTGGTGGAGACAACCCAGGTGTACACTGAGGCCGAGACCAAGCAGGTGTTTGAGGAGACCCAGGTTGACATTCCGGTGGGAGACAGGGCTGGCTCCTCCATGTCCTTGTGGGAGATCATGAACTCGGACCTGATCCCCGAGGAGCAACGCAATCGGCTGATGGATGAGTTCCGCTCCGGCAAGGTTACGAAGGAGCGCATGATCATCATTATCATCGAGATCATTGAGAAGACAGAGATCATCCGGCAGCAAGACCTCACCTCCTATGACTATGTCCGCCGCCGCATCACTGCTGAGGACCTCTATGAGGCCAGGATCATCTCCCTGGAAATATACAATGCACTGAAGCAGGGCTCCAAGACCATCCGCGAGATCCTGGAGATCGAGACCATCTGGAGGTACCTGTACGGCTCCGGCTGTGTTGCTGGAATCTACATTCCATCCAGCAAACAGAAGATCAGCATCTACCAAGCCCTGAAGAAGGGGCTGATCAGCCCAGAGGTGGCTCGGCCCTTGCTGGAAGCTCAGGCTGCCACTGGCTTCATTGTGGAGCCCATCAAAAATGACATGTTGACTGTTGATGAGGCCGTCAGGAAAGGGGTTGTGGGCCCAGAAATGCACGACCGTCTCCTGTCTGCCGAGAGAGCTGTGACCGGCTACCGCGACCCCTACAGCGAGCAGAAAATCTCTCTCTTCCAGGCCATGAAGAAGGATCTCATCCCTTCTGAGGAAGCCCTCAGGCTGCTTGATGCCCAGTTGGCCACTGGAGGCATAATAGACCCACACCTGGGCTTCCACCTGCCCTTAGAAATTGCCATTCAGCGTGGCTACTTAAACAGGGAGACGCACGACCAGCTGTCTGAGCCCAGCGAGGTCCGCAGCTATGTGGATCCCTCCACCGACGACAAGCTCAGCTATGCACAGCTCCTCAAGCGATGCAGGAAGGATGAGAACAATGGCTGCCTGCTGTTGCCCCTCTGTGACACTCGCAAGCTGACCTTCAGGGGCCTGAGGAAGCAGATCTCGGTTGAAGAGCTGGTGCGCTCCAAAGTCATGGATGAAGCAACCGCCCAGCGCCTCCAGGAGGGCTTGACCTCTGTGGAAGAAGTCTCCAAAAACCTGCAGAGGTTCTTGGAGGGCACCAGCTGCATTGCTGGCGTCTACGTGGACTCCTCCAAGGAGAGGCTGTCTGTGTACCAGGCCATGAAGAAAGGCATCATCCGTCCCGGCACAGCCTTTGAGCTGCTGGAAGCCCAGGCAGCTACTGGGTATGTCATCGACCCCATCAAGAGCCTCAAGTTGACTGTGGAGGAAGCGGTGCGCATGGGCATCGTGGGTCCCGAGTTCAAGGACAAGCTGCTTTCGGCAGAGAGGGCTGTGACAGGCTACAAGGACCCCTACTCTGGCAAGATGATCTCCCTCTTCCAAGCCATGAAGAAAGGCCTGATCCTGAAAGACCACGGGATCCGTTTGCTAGAAGCTCAGATTGCCACAGGAGGCATCATTGATCCAGAGGAGAGCCATCGCCTGCCTGTGGAAATGGCATACAAGAGAGGCCTGTTTGATGAGGAAATGAATGAGATCCTCTTGGATCCTAGTGATGACACAAAGGGGTTCTTTGACCCAAACACTGAGGAAAACCTGACCTACCTGCAGCTGATGGAGAGGTGCATGACAGACCCTGAGACTGGGCTCTGCCTTCTGCCTTTGAAGGAGAAGAAGCGGGAGAGGAAGACCTCCTCCAAGTCCTCCGTCCGCAAGCGCAGGGTGGTGATCGTTGACCCAGAGACCGGGAAGGAGATGTCCGTGTACGAAGCCTACCGCAAAGGCCTCATTGACCACCAGACCTATTTGGAGCTCTCTGAGCAGGAGTGCGAATGGGAAGAGATCACAATTTCCTCCTCGGACGGGGTGGTCAAATCCATGATCATTGACCGGAGGTCAGGGAGGCAGTACGACATCGACGACGCCATTGCAAAGGGCCTGATTGACCAGTCTGCCCTGGACCAGTACCGCTCGGGCACTTTGTCCATCACAGAGTTTGCAGACATGTTGTCTGGCAACATGAGCGGGTTCCGATCCAGATCTTCCTCCGTCGGCTCCTCCTCTTCCTACCCCGTAAGCCCAGCCCACGGGAGAGCTCAGCTGACCTCCTGGAGTGACCCCACAGAGGAGACCGGCCCAGTGGCTGGTATCCTGGACACAGACACCCTGGAGAAGGTCTCCATCACAGAGGCCATGCACCGCAACCTGGTGGACAACATCACTGGCCAGAGACTGCTGGAGGCTCAGGCCTGCACGGGAGGGATCATTGACCCGAGCTCCGGGGAGAAGTTCTCCGTCGCCGATGCCGTTAACAAAGGCCTAGTGGACAAGATCATGGTGGACAGGATCAACCTTGCCCAGAAGGCTTTCTACGGCTTTGAGGACCCCAGAACCAAGACCAAGATGTCCGCTGCGCAAGCCCTGAAGAAGGGCTGGCTGTACTATGAGGCCGGCCAGCGGTTCCTGGAGGTGCAGTATCTGACTGGAGGGCTGATTGAGCCGGAGGTGACTGGCCGGGTCCCCCTGGACGAGGCGCTGCAGAAGGGCACCATCGATGCCCGCACGGCCCAGAAGCTCCGGGACGTGAACACCTATTCCAAGTACTTGACCTGCCCCAAAACCAAGCTCAAGATCTCCTACAAGGACGCCATGGACAGGAGCATGACGGAGGAGGGCACCGGCCTGCGTCTCCTGGAAGCCTCTTCCCAGTCCAGCAAAGGCTATTACAGCCCCTACAATGTCAGCGGCTCCGGCTCCACCTCAGGGTCTCGATCCGGCTCACGAACGGGATCCCGGTCGGGCTCCAGGCGAGGGAGCTTCGACGCGACGGGCTCCGGTTTCTCCATGTCCTTCTCTTCCGCCTCTTACACTGCTTCCAACTATGGCCGAAGATACACATCAGGTCCAAGCGGCGGCGGCAGCACAGATGTCCCCCCCAGCCTTGCTGGCATCTCGTCCCCCCACAGCGTGAGCTGCGGAGGAGGAGGAGAAGGCGGCAGGAGATCTATTGGACTGCAGGGGCAGCCGCAGCTGCCCGTGGCCTAACATGCTCCCAGCCCTCCTGCCTCCTTAAAGCCTGAGATAACTTTTGCATTTATCCTGCTCTGCATGTGGAAAAGCTGCTGGCTAACCTTCTCATTTTTATTATTATTATTTTGTAATGTTTAAAAACACAATCTCCTTCCAAAGCAGTGCCTAAAGTTTAACCAAAAAAAGACTAGACTAATATATTAATATATATGATTGTTCTGACAGTATTTGTATATCGAGAGAAAGAGAGAGAGAGCGTTTCCGTCGTCATCCTCCACCATCCTTCCCCCGCCCTCAGTTTTGCCACCCGGGAGCTTGTTTCTCTTTGTGCCATCTGCAGAGTAGAATAACCCCAGGCAGGGACCTGCGGATGCCGCCCTTAGGGCAGAAGCTGCACTCTGTCCTTCTCCTCACCAGCCAGCGCCTTCCTCCACGGAGCCCCACCAGCTCCCTCCGTCAAGGGAGAGGATGACCCTCATGCCAAGGAGCCTCTTGACCTCCTGCCTATGCAAGCTGCACCCTCTGCCTCCAGTCAGGAAGGAAGAGAGCCCCCACCGCCCCCTGGGCACCCCACAGCCCCCCTCGGCTGCCACAAGCTTCCAACGCCATGCCTGGACTGCTCTTTCTCACGGACCCTCGGCCGGACGACCAAGACCACTGCTGTCTGCACTCCACCGCGGCTGCTCTCTGGCTGGCTTCCCCTCCGCTGCCTGGACTCTGCGCTCAGACCGTAAGTGTGCCCTGGCACTGCCGCCTCCTTCTCCCTCCTGATGCTGCTGCCGCCTTGCGGATGGGCCTGCCTGCCTCTCTTCACGCCTCCCCCTCTGCCCGTCTCTTCTCCCTGCCCACGCCTCCAACCTGCAGATCCTTCCTGGCGCTTTCTGTGGTGCTCTGCTTGCCGCGCTCAGCACACGGGGAGCTTTGCACTGCTGTGGGCTGCTCTTAGCTGGCTGTGACCTCTGCACGTCTGTCTGTCTGTCTGTCTGGTTCTGTGTATCTGGGAAGCGCCCTGTATGAAAACATGGACAGGCAAAGGTTAGAACTGGACGGTCTCCCTTGAAGCCACAACAGCTCAGCGAGGTCTGTTCCCTGGCCTCTTGCTAAAAGCTGCCTCCCCTGGGGGTGCTCACGGGTACCACCAAGGCTGGGTCTTCTCCTGGGTCTTATGCTTTCAGAGTCCCGCTTTTTCTTCTTATCAAGGGCAAATGGCAGAATGGGCGCTTACGGAAGCAGCCGCGCCCTGAAACGGGCACCGTCCTTGTGCTTTTTCTTCCCAGCTGCTTTGTGTTCCTTCGTAATAACATGCGCTCTTTCTCTCAGACGTTTTCTCCTAGTCCCACCAAAGAAGCCCCCCTGTCGCTGGGAGAACTCCTGAGCTGGTTTTCTGAGGTCAGCAAGTCCTGGAGGAGCTCAGCAGGAGGCCCTGAGGCGGCAGCAGATGCAGCAGCCTTCCCTCCGCTGCTCTCGCCCACAAAGGTAACTGCGGGGCTCGAAATCTCCTTCCGCTTTCGGCTGTGAGCTTCTTGCACTGGCTTCCGGGGGCTGAGGTGGTGCTGAATGGAAGGCGGGCAGAGCTGCAGAGAGGGAGACCCAGGGAAGCTAGAAATAGAATAGGCAAGTGCAAAGAGTGCTCCCCACGGATCCTGAGAATGAGAACAGTGGTCCCCTGTTCTGGGGAAGAGCCACCCCCTTTCCCACTGTTTCTCTCCTCCTGAACCTCTGGCGCTCTGAGGCTGATGGGCCATTGCTCCTCCCCTGGTCTCTGGCCGGCAGCCTCAGCCTCTCCTCCTCCTTGGAAGGGTGTTCAGGGTCCATTGTGGGCAGGGAGTGGCAGGCAGGCAGGCAGGGGTCAGAGGAGCCAGCGGGGCTGAGCATGGCAGTGGCTTCCTGGCTTGATGTGATGGCATCATTGTCACGTGTGACTTCTTCTCTCTCATCCCATCCTGTTCTTTTTCTTCACTTTATTTAGCGTTGCTGGATGTCCATTTCAACTTCCTTCCCAGTTGCCACGGATCTCGTCCCCCAGTGTTGGGGCAAGTGGGACAGCACTGAGGACCCAGGCAGACCCTTCCCCCCTCCCTTTGCAGCCGCAGCGGAGCAGCTAGCAGGGGCCGCGGCTGGCGGTCAGGGGCCAGTGAGGAGGGGGCAGGGGTAGGGAGGCAGGGGCGGCCACAGAGAGCCCTCCTCCTAGGTGGCCTGGGAACAGCTGCCTGGCAAAGCTGGAGTGGTCCTCTGCCCATCGCAGATGAGCTGGTCCCCTGGCCCTTGGGGGGGGGGCGAGGCTGAGACCTGCTGTGCTGTGCTCTGGAGGAAGGCAGCCAGGCAGTTGTGGGCAGGGGGGCGAGGCCGTTGGAAAGCCACCCTGCCTGCTGCAGCTCAGAGGGTGCTGCCTCCTGCCTCCCCCCACCTGCCCCCCCACCCTCCAGCATAAGTAGGGTCAGGGGCACGTCTTCCTCTGTTGGGGTGCTCCTCCCGGGCTCACACAGGGCGTTTCTGCCCTCTTTTCAAAGCAATAAGAGATGGCAAAGGCAGCAGTAGAGCAGAGGTGGTCTCAGTCCTGAGGGGGGTTGTTGCTGGAGCCACAGCCCGGCGGGGTGGGGGGTGTCCTTGGGCAGCCTCCCCAACTCCTGCCTGCGGAAGCCAAGAGGATGCTGTGCCCCCCCGGCATCGGAAGGTCCTTCTCCGCCAGCCCATCCTTATTTGCTCCATGTGAATCAAGCCATCCCATTCCTTGGCATTTGTTGATGTTATATTATTCTCTCATTATCCAGTTGGTTGGTTTTTTTCCTTGCTTTTGCATGATGTATTAACTCGAGCAAGCCTGTATCCATATTCTGTGTCGGCCATTGGCACAGGCTGGGGGTGCCCTCCCCCTTCTCTCCCTTGCCCCCCTGGCTCCCCTCCTGCCTCTTTCTGCTCAAAGCAGCGGAGGCGGCCCTCGTTCTTCTCAGACTAAACTGTTCAGGCTCATCTCTGTTTTTCGGGAGGCAGAACACTAAACTTGTAAATACCATGAAGTGTTTGTAAAAACATGCAGTATGGAACCAGGCCCTCTGCGCCGGGGGCAGTAAAGAAGATTCTATGAAACGGCTTCTGTGTGGTTTGTTCGCGACACCTCGCTCCTCTTCCAAGGACACTGAGCCCCTCCCTAGTGCCCCAAACTCCCTGCCCTCCTTGCTTCAAAGCCCTTGGGTGGGTCCCAGCCTGGGGGAGTTGGCTGTGGGGTCTTTGCGGTGCTTCCAGAAGGAGCGTTCTCCACAAGAGCTTCCCGAAGTAGCTTCAGACCTCCGGTGAGTAACTGCCCGGGTTGCCCACGTGGGCCTGGAGTCAGGGGCTGCTCTGCAAGAGAGACCCCAGAGAAGTCGCTGGTGTGAATTCACCTCTTGGCTGGGTGTGGAGAAGAGGCTCTGATGTTTCCCATGCCTTCCTTACAACACGTCTTTGCAGCCTGGTGCTCTGGAACAAAGCAGTCCGTCTCAAAGTCACGCCAGGGTTGGAGCTGCAAGCCATGCAGAAGGAGTTGTGGCCTCTGCTGTTAAGGTCCCTTTGCCCCAGGCTCCCACCCCACGGTGCCTGCAGCCCGCAAGGGGGTCACAAGGCAACCCACCCTCTTCCCAAGATCTGTAGTTCACCTAACCTTGAGAGCTAGATCCCATCAGTATCTATAGAAGCCCATGAACTGTTACCAAGCACCTCTGCGTGAATAATGCCGAAACTCTGGGAAAAAGGAGAGGGATTATGAAGCAGGTATGCTTTAATTCTGGGAACAGATCAGGCTGGAAGCCGCCTCTGGCTAGGATGGGTCTCAGTGGGGTTTGGGGAGCCTGAATATTCGTGTCAGTGTTGCTGGAGCTGGCAGGCTCAGAACGCGGCAGGCCTGCCTCCCTCCTGCCCACTCCTGGGTCCGTTCCTGTTTTGCTCTTTGTCCCAGGGCACATAAAAGGCGGCTCTATCCAGCTCCTCTGGAGCAGATGGCAGCAGGCCAGGAGCCTGGCTCCTCGCTTTGCCCCTTTCCAAAGGCAAGAGAAAGCAAAGAGGTTTTCCTTCCCTTGAGCAAACTACACTAATGTAGCTGTTTGGAAGCACAGCCGGGCCTCTTTGGTTTTAACGAGGAGCTTGGAGGCTCCACTGCAGCTGGCAGCTCCTGGGCACTCAGGCTGGCAGGGATCCCTGGCACTGTGCCCACCCCATAGAGGTGGGTGGCATGCCTGAGGGTTGTGCTAGGGTACTAGAAGCCCATTCTGCCTTAACTTGGGGGTCTTCAACAGGGGCACCTAAGTCATTTCATGCAAGAAGAAGGGTCGGCATCTAAGGTCAAACTTAGAAAAGGATAGCAAATACTGAGACATTTTTGGAAGAAGATAAAAGTCCTTTCAATTCGCTATTTAAGAAACGCAAAGCTACATAATGTTTTGTGCTGTACTAAAGCCAGGCAAGGGTAGCAATACGCTGCCATCCAGAAGGGATCTGCTGGGTCTTTCACCAGGTACCCATTCCTGGCAGGAGCTGCAGGGGAACCTGACATGGGCCAAATCTGCCCCATCCCTCTTCCCATTGAGTACCCTTTTCCCCAAGCTGTGCCCGTATCCAGTGGCGGAGCTTCATCCTCCAGCACCGGGGGGGGGGGGCAGAGAACAGGCAGGGGCATGGCACGCCACCTGCAGGGGCGTGGTGCCCAGTGGGGGGGAGAAGCCACAATGGCACCCCACTGGGATCGCGCTGCCGGGGGCCATGCGCTCCCCCCGCACTCCTCTTCCTCCGCCAGTGCCTAGATCCTGCCCAAGTGAAGAGTGATGGGCGCAGAATGGGCAGGGAGCTGCCCCCTCCATTTTTTTAATTTAAGGCCCACCTAGTCCAGCCCTGTGGGAAGTGTCAGACTAGATGCCCTGGAGGGAAGCCCATAATTCCAAGCTGAGCGCAACCCTTGTGATTGCCAGAGAACGTAGCCATTGTGGCCTGTAGCGATTCAGAGTCTTCTGCTGCATTCATTTGTCAAATCCTCTTTTAAAGCTGTCTGAAGTTGGTGGCCATCTTGTGGCAATGAGTTCCACAGTTTAACTGTGTCCTTGATGAAGAGCTACTTTATTTTCTCTGTCCTGAAGCTCTTCAGCCTCATTGCTCGACCACATTCATTTCAAGTTCTCCACACCTTGCAGGATTCCACACACTCTGTGGGAGCCCCATC